TGTGGACTCTAAACCCTAAACCCTAATGGCGTGCGCTGCTTCTATATTCTAAACCCTGAATGCTCCCTTTCGTTTCGAGGCCTGGTCCTAAACCCTAATTTAAACCGTACAGTTGAGCCCCAAGGGCTTAGGGTTTAGGGTTTAGGGTTTACCTTCGACCACAGCAAACCAGCTCTAGAGGCCACTCAAAATCGCCGATAACCGCTGCAGCTGCTGCAATTGCTGCTGCTGCAGTAGCTGCTTCCGCAGTCGCTGCTGCAGCAGCTGCTGCTGCAACTCCTGCTGCTGCAACTCCTGCTGCTGCTGCTGCTGCTCAGGTGCCTAGTGAGGCGAGGCAGGACGAAGGCGGCGACTCGACGGGGCTGAAGCTGCGGGGGGACACAGCCTATATGACCGACAGCTGCCACAAGGTGCTGCTGCTGCTGCTGCTGCTGCACTGCTGCTGCTGGATAAGTTGATTTATGTGGATTTTATCCGTGGCGTTGCACTTTGCCAGCCTCAGTGTCTCGGGCGTATCTGTGAATTATTATTTGTAAATATTTATTTTTATTAAAAAATATTTTTAATTTTATTTTCAATTTGTAATTTATTTGCTGAACTTCATCCTAGGTGTCCGTGGGCACTTGTGCTTCGTGTTTGCTGCTGCTGCGTCTGCGGCTCTCCTGTTCCTGCTGCTGCGACTGCTTCCCCTCTTCACGCTGCTGCTGCTGCTGCTGCTGCTGCTGCTGCAGCTGGACACGGTGCTGCAGTTCCACGTGGGGGAAACAGTGACTGGGCTGCGGCGGGCCACTCTGAGCACGGGGGCCTCCGAAGCAATTGTCTACGCCACCATCATGGGCACCATAGGGGCCCTCGTTCCCTTCCTCACCAAAGAAGAGGTCTGCTGCTGTTGCTGCTGCTGCTGCTGCTGCTGGTTTGGATGTTCGTGGTGGTGGTGGTGATTTTGTGCTGCTGCTGGTGCGGGTTTGGGTGTTCGTGGTGGTGCTGCTGGTGGTGGTGGTCTTTGTGCTGCTGCTGCTGCTGCTGCTGCTTGTTAGCGGGCTAGTTTTTGTTGCAGTTGCTGCTGTGCTGCTGGCTAGAGTGCTTCCTGCTGCTGTGTCTGTTGGAGCTAGCGGGGTTGTAGCAGCAGAGTCTCTTGGGGTGCTTGCGGGGCCTTGAGTTACCGTTGCAGCTAGCCAGCTAGCTAGCCTACTAGCCAGCCAGCTAGCTGGCCACGAAATTAGCCAGCTAGCTAGATAGCCAGTTAGCTGGCCAGCTAGCTAGATAGCCAGTTAGCTAGCCAGCTAGCTAGTAACACAGCTAGCCAGCTTGCTAGCTAGCTAACAGCAGCAGCAACCAGAAAGATGCGGTAGAAGTGGCCGAAGAGAAGAATGAAAGAAGTGGAAAATGAAATGAAATGAAGTGAAATGAAAATGAAATGAAATGAAAACAAAGTGCGGAGCTGGGGTGTACGTACAGCTGGACTTCTTCCACCACCTGGAAATGGTCATGCGAAACGAAGCCCCGCCTTTGGCGGGTCGAGACCATTTGATGTTCAGATCTTATTACCATCCTTTGAAGGTGAGAAGCTTATTTAATTTAATTTAATTTAATTTAATTTATTTAGTTGCTTGATTGCTTCGGCCTTAGTCCCGAAGTTCAGCAGTTTCTGCAGCCCGCCCGGCCGCCGCCAGCAAGTGGCTGCGGCCGCGGCTGCGTGCTGGGGCTGTGTTGTGGCTAGCTAGCTAGCTAGCTGGCTAACTGGTCAGCTAGCGAGCTTGCTGGCTAGCTAGCCAGCTAGCTTGATGGCTATCTCAGTTGGTGCTGGTTGGCTGGCTGCTAGGCCACGAACTGAACAGCTGAGGCTAGCTAGCCAGCTAGCTAGCTAGCTATGCTAGCTAGCCAGCAGCCGCAGCTGAGGCAGTCGCACAGCTAGCTGGCCAGTTCGGCCTCCACAGCTCGAACTCGCCAGCTAGCTCTCTACCGCTCTAGCTAGCCAGCCAGCCAGCCAGCTAGCCAGCCAGCTAGCCAGCTAGCCAGCTAGCTAGCTAGCCAGGGCGTGTGTGGGGGTGCTGCAGAACGTGGTGGACGGGGACCTGTGCGAACAGTACGGGTCTTTGCCGCCCGCAGTGCAGACGCGAATAGCTGAAGACTTCGAGAAGACTCCTGCGGAGATTCTGAAGAGGCTCGAGGACATCCGAAACAGAGTCTTGTGATTAGCTAGCTAGCTAGCTAGCTAGCTATCTGGCTGGCTATCTGGCTGGCTAGCTGGCGGGTAGCTGGCTAGCTGGCGGGTAGCTGGCTAGCTAGCTAGCCTTCGGCCGTGCCGCGCAGCTAGCTAGCTAGCTAGCTAGCCAGCGTACGGGCGAGCAATATGGCTAGCCAGCTAGCAGGCTAGCTAGCTGGCTAGCTACCTGGTTGGCTAGCTAGCTAGGGGCCCTCGTCGTGGGGCTCCGAGGTTGGAGGGTGCAGAGTTGAGGGCTGCAGGTTCAGGGTTTAAGGTTTAGGGTTTAAGGTCTAGGGTTTAGGGTTTAGGGTTTGGGGGTTTTGAAGTGGCCGCGGCTAAGGAAAATGAGCAGAGAGGGACTTGGCCTCGCCTGTCAATCAGACAGAGGGGCGTCAGTCTGTGGCTAGCTAGCTAGCTACGCAGCTAGCTGCCAAGTGGGCTATCTTTGAGTGGCTAGCTAGCTACCCAGCTAGCTGTTGAGCGAGCTACCACTTGCTGGCTGTTTAGCTTGGGGCTAGCTACCTGAGTAGCAAGCTAGCTAGCTAGCTGGCTAGCTAGCTAGCTACCTGAGTAGCAAGCTAGCTAGCTAGCTGGCTAGCTAGCTAGCTACCTGGCTAGCTGACTCGCTAGGTAGCTGGCTAGCCGCCGTTTGTTGGCAGACTGCTGTTCAGCTAGCTGCTGGGTGAGCCGCCTCTTACTGGCTAGCTAGCTACTCAGTTCGCCGCTCTGCGGACTGCTGCCTAGCTAGCTAGCTACTCAGCTAGCTGCCCAGTGAGCTGCCAGCTAGCCAAGCAGCCGCTTCTTTATTAATAACTTGTCGTACGAATAGGGTTTAAGTCGCATTTACCTCGGCGAGCGGATGCCCATCGCTAGCTAGCTACCTAGCTAGCTGGCTACTCAGCTAGCTAGCTGCTTAGCTAGCCAGCTACCTGGCTAGCGAGCCAGTTAGCCAGCTAGCTATTGAGGGATGGATGGCTATTTGCCCAGTTGCGGGTAGCGAGTCGGCAGTGTTGGAGAGTTGGCTAGCTAGCTAGCTAGCTAGCTAGCTAGCTGGCCGGATGGCTGGCTAGCTAGTTAGCTAGATAGCTATTTAGCTGGTTAGCTGGCCAAATGTCTGGCTAGCTAGCTAGCTAAGTGAGACAGGCCAGCTAGCTCTGCTGCTCGCCTCCTCAGGTGGCTAGCTGTTGGTAACAGGAGTTGACGGCAGCCGCTGCAGCTAGCTAGCCACAGCTAACTAGCCACAGCTAGCTAGACACAGCTAGCCAGAGGCAGCCGCAGCTAGCTAGCTGCACGCGGTGGGGCAGTGTTGACAATTGAACATAGCTAACAGCGCTAGCGTGGGGTAGCCTGAGCTAAACCCTAATTTAGGGTTTAGGGTTTAGTGTGCGGGAACTACGGCATAAGAGATAAATAGCTCTGGCAGCAGCAGCAGCAGTGGCGGCAGGACTCCGCCGAGACAGCTTTGTGCCACTGCTGCTGCTGCTGCTGCTGCTGCCGCTGCTGCGTTGGTTGCTGCAGTACTTGTAGCAGCAGCAGCATCTGCAGGACTCTGACGGTGAATATTTGCCCTGCTGCTGCTGCAGCTGCTGCTGCTGCTGCCTTGGAGTTCAACTCACTTTACTGAAGGCGCATCTCTGGCTAGTCCCCAGCAGCGAGTGGTTGCTGCTACAAACCCTAAACCCTTAACCCTTAACCCTAAACCCTAGGCTAGAAAGAAACTACGTGGAACCAAATATGGGAAGAAGTGCTTTCTGGAAACGAGAAATTGGAGAAGCTAATTTGGCCAAAGAATGGAGACATGGGGGCTGCTGCACAGCGTGGCGTTTAGGGTTTAGGGTTAAGGGTTTAGGGCTTAGGGTTTTGGGTTTGCGAAATAGGTCTTTCCGCCTAGAGTTTGTCAGTATACTCTAGTCCATTTAATTTCAAGACAAGCAAACCCTTGCCACTTGTCGATATTGCTGCGATGCTCCTGCACGGAGCAGCAGCAGCAGCAGCAGCAGCAGTAGCAGCAAGGGCAGCAGCAGCGGCAGCAGCAGCGGCAGCGGCAGGCTCTTTGTTTGCGAGAATTATAAGCTTTTTGCTTGAGTAGAAATGCAGAAAATATGCAAGCAGACCCACCTCACAGCAGCAGCAGCAGCAACAGCAGTAGCAGCAGCAGCAGCAGCAGCAGAGAGCGACGGTCGTGCTGCCGGTGCCACTGCAGGGCTGGGGCACCGCGTTTGACCCCCGCGAGAAAAGCCTTTAGTTGAATTTAAAATAAATAAATAATTAAATATACAGACAGAGATAAATTAAAAAACCAGCTGAGCTGCCTAGACACCTCAGCCGCAACTCCGACAGACACTGCTGCTGCTGTGTCACTCACCAGCAGCAGCAGCAGCAGCAGCAGCAGCGCCTTCTGTCTGTCTCGGCCTTGTTTTTGTTTCATCACCGTGAAACAGCAGCAGCAAATTCTTCCACCGTCTCAAGAAGCCTCTCTTTCAGCAGGACCATAGCAGCAGCAGCAGTAGCAGCAGGAGCAGCAACGGGAGCCGACAGCAGTCACTGTGCTGCATAGACGGCTCGGGGCAGCAGCGCGACCCCATCTAAGCCCTTGCTGCATTTTTGTCTTTAAAATTAACTTGGCAGCAGCAGCAGCAGCAGGAGGCTGGCGTATCCTAATAAGCAAGCAGCAGTATCCAGTAACCAAGCAGCAGCAGCAGCAGCAGCAACGGCTGCTGCAGCAGCAGCGTGCCCCTTCTGCACATCTCCCCCAAAGGAAGCCCCCAAAGCCCTTATTGAAATTAACTTAAAGATGGATCTCAAGGAAAATGAGTTGAGGGAAAACGCTGCAGCGGCTGCAGCAGCAGCAGCAGCAGCAGAAGATGCCACAGCCAACGCACACGCAGCCGACTGCAGCAGGAACTGCCGCAGCAGCAGCGCCAGCAGCTGCTCCTGCAGCAGCAGCAGCAGCGGGGCTGCAGCGCCGTCCGTAGTGAGCACCAAGCCACAAACTGCAGCAGCAGCAGCAGCTTTAGCTGCTACTGCTGCAGCTGCACCCACCATCGGGACAGCAGCGGCTGCTGCTGGTGGCTCTGCTGCAGCAGCAGCAGCAAATGAGCCACATGAAGCAGCAGCAGCAGAACAAAGCTGCTGCTGTGGCCCGAGAGAAATTTCGGCAGAAGCTGCTGCTGGCAGTGAGCTGTCGATACACGTGAAACAGGCACCCGAAGCAAGACACGCAGCAACAGCAGCAGCGGCAGCTGCTGCTGCTGCTGCTCCTGCTACTGCCGTTGCTGCTGTTGCTGCTGCTGCTGTGCATGCCCTATTAGGGCCCGTGCCGTAACCTCCAATCTACCGCCAACACCCTAAATCCTAAACCCTAAACCCTAAACCCTAAACCCTAGATTCATGCGCAAGCTGAACCTTTGCACCCTAGCCGGCCGAAGTCCATCCACCATTATAAATTGATTTGCATATTTATATTTATATTTATATTATATTTATATTTATTTATTGATTTATTTTTATTTTTATTTTATTTTTATCTATTTTAATCAATTTATTTAATTTCCTTTTCTTGTCTTCTCCTCAGACACCTCCTGCCCCCCCCAAACCCCAAATCCAATTTATGACACAAAGACAGAAGACCCTTCTTTGGGAGACCCCCGGGGGGCCCCCCCGGGGGCCCCTCTAGAGGGTACCCGGGGGACCCACCTGGGGGGCCCCCCGAGGGGCCCCCCGGGGGGCCCCCCGGGGGGCCCCCCAGGGGGGCCCCCCCGGGGCCCCCAGGGAGGCCCCCAGAGGGGCCTCAGCCTGGGGGCCGGGCCCGCGGGCGACTTGACGGACCTCGTGGACGCGCTGTGGGCGCAGCGCCGCCGCAGGGCCCTTCAGCAGCAGCAGCAGCAGCAGCAGCAGGAGGGGGGGCTGCTGCAGCAGCAAACAGAGGAAGCAGCAGCAGACCACGCAGGCGCGCAGCACGCGAGGGCCAAACACAGAGCAGCAAAAAGGAGAAGATGAATCTCCTGCAGCGAAGGGAGAGGCCCCCAGTGGGGTGTACAGACACCTCGAGGTTGTCTGGGGTGTACGTACACCTCAGCGAGTCTGCATGCAGCTGAGGTGTACGTACACCCCGCGGCCCAAACCACTAACATCTTTTTAGGGTTTTGCACTTCACCTTGGCAGCAGATCTTTAGTTTTGCTTCCCAGCAAAGAAATCGAAAACCGCACAGCCAGTCACTCAGGTGTACGTGCACCGCAGCTTCACGCTGCAGCAGCAGCAGGCGCTGCAGCAGCAGCAGCAACTACCGCAGCAGCGGCACAAGCAGCTGCAACAAGCTGCAGCAAACTGTAGCAAGCTGCAGCAAGCTCAGGAGCAAGCTGCAGCAAGCTCAGGAGCAAGCTGCAGCAAGCTTGGCAGCAAGCTGCAGCAAGTTGCAGCAAGCTCAGCAGCAAGCTGCAGCAGGCTCAGGAGCAAGCTGCAGCAAGCTCAGCAACAAGCTGCAGCAAGGTTAGCAGCAAGCTGCAGCAAGCTTAGCAGCAGCAGGCTGCAGCAAGCTCAGCAGCAAGCTGCAGCAAGCTTAGCAGCAGCAAGCTGCAGCAAGCTCAGCAGCAAGCTGCAGCAAAGCAAGCTGCAGCTCTGCGTATAAAAGTCTCCCAGATAGCAGTAAAAGAATCTGCAGCAAAACTGTTTATCGGGTGCCGTAATGCTGCTGCTGCTGCATGCAGCAGCAGCAGCAGCACGAGAGCACAGCTCCACAAACAAAAAGATAATGCAGCGGACGCACTTTGCAGCAGCAGCTGCCACGACAGCAGCAGCAGCAAATGCAGCAGACGCAGCAGCAGCTACCGCAGCTGCAGCCGCAGCAGCAGCAGCAGCAACACGAGTTGCTGCTGCCAGCACGATGGAGGCAAATGCATAGTTTTTGAGAGCAAATTCTTCAAAGTGCTGCTTCTGCTGCTGCTGCTGTCGCTGCCGCTGCTGACCCGGGTGCTGCTGGTGCTCCTATCGCTGCTGCTGCCGTTGCTGCTGCTGCAGCACCAACTACACAAAACGAAAGCGAAAAGTCCTTTCCTACAGAGAATCCCCTTCTGCTTCTGCTGCTACTGCTGCTGCTGCTGCTACTGCTTCTGCTGCTTTATGATGGAGTTGGACGCTGCGCTTTACGGAGGATCCCTTCTTGCTGCTGCTGCAGCTGCTGCTACTCTTGCAGCAGCAGCAGCAGCAGCGTGATGGAGGCGAACGCTGCCATTTCCAGGGGTCCCTCCTAATGTTGCTGCTCCTACTACTACTACTGCCGCTGCTGCCGCAGCTGCCGCCGCAGCAGCAGCAGCAGCTGCTGCTGCCGCAGCAGCAGCAGCAGCAGCAACTGCTGCTGCTGCTGCTGCTATATGATGGGGGTAAAGGCTACATTTCCTATGGAGAAGCCCCTCATGCTGCTTCTCACCCGCTGTTCAAAAGTTGTGGGGTCGCTGCGCAAAGTCGCAGCAGCTTCTTGGTTCAGTGGGTCGTTGGGGTTCGGCTCCTGCAGCAGCAGCAGCAGCAGCAGCAGCAGCAGCACGTGCAGCAGCAGCAAGTGCAGCAGCAGCAGCAGGAGTGCCGACGTCCAGGGCCGCAGCTAAGCAAGCGCAGCGGCAGAAGCAGCGGAGAAAATCGCAGCGGCAGCCCAAACAGCAACAGCAGCAGCAGCAGCAGCAGCAACAGCAGCAGCAGCAGCAGCAGCAGCTGACGAGGAAGAGGTGCAGCAGCCCGTAGATCACAGAGGAAAGAGACAAAACTGGCTTCCAGTCTTCTCTCAAAATGTTGAGACACACGTTGCCCTGCAGGTCGATGTTCGGGTGGTACACCTGCGCCCACAAACCCTAAACCCTAAACCCTAAACCCTAAACCCTAAACCCTAGGTCTTAATGAGGCCGAGCGCCAAAGCTCTGCTCCAAACCCTTGTTGCGGGAAACGAGGCCAGAATGCCCCGGAAGATGAACGAAGCACCTCGCCCTAAACTCTAAACCCTAAACCCTAAACCCTAAACCCTAAACCCTAAACCCTAAACCCTCGGCGCGCCTTGTCCTTGCACTTGACTTTCGGGGGGTCGTGGGGGTAGTTTTGAGGAAGTCTAATGTTGAATCTGATTCGGCCTCCTCTCCAGTACCCTTCATCAGGAACAAGAGACAAAAGAAAAGTAGGGGGCCCCCCCAGTTCCTCAGAGGGGGCCCCCCCTGCTGCTGCTGCTGCTGCTGCTGCCGCCGGCAGACTCAGCAGCGTGCAGTTCGGAGGCAGGTCCAGGTCCTCCAAGTCTTTCTGCAGGCGAATGTCGCTCGGCAGCAGACGGGGGCCCGCTGCTGCTGCTGCTGCTGCTGCTGCTGCTGCTGCGTCATTTGCTGCAGCAGAACCCGAAGCTGAAGCCCCCGGAGAACCCCCCGAGGAGTCCTGGGCCCCCCCGTTGCCTTCAGCTGCCTTCCGCCTCCCCGGGCCGTAGAGGCGCAGCATCCTCGCTTTCTGCTGCTGCTGCTGCTGCTGCTGTGTTTTGGCTGCTGCCGCTGCTGCTGCTGCTGCCAGCCGCAATGCTTGGAGCTAAAAAACACACGAAGAGACAAACGGAAAGCTCAAGAGGCCACCCCGTGGCTGATTGTGGATCTCTGCGCTGCACTAGTTGCTGCAGCAGCTGCTGCTGTAGTTGCTGCTGCTGCACTTTCTGCGGCACATGCTGCTGCACTTGCTGCGCCCTAGCTGCTGCCAGGAAGTTTCACACAACTTCTAATTAATTGAAATTCCCAAAATAGGTCCTAGGACTTTTATTTACTAATTTATATTTGCTGGTTCGGAGAGGGGGGCCCAAACTCTGTTGGTGTCCTTTGGGGGCCCCCCAATGCTGCTGCTACGGGGCCCCCCGGCGGTGCTGCCGCGCAGCAACTGCAGCAGAGTTTGTCCTCTTTTATTCAAACTATTTTATTTTTTTGTAAGTTTTCGCGAAGAAGAAGTCCCCTTTCGCAGCAGCAGCAGCAGAACAAACCGCCGCTGCTGCTCCTGCTGCTGCTGCTCTGGCTGCTGCTGCTCCTGCTCCACACAGCAACAGCAGCGAGAGGCTGCCCTCTGCAGCAGCTCCTCCTGCAGCAGCACGCCTCTCTGCAGCAGCCAGTCAGCAGCTGCTTCTGCAACTACCTTCTCAGATCCAGAGCTAGCGGCTGCAGCTGCAGGTGCTGCACCGTTGGTGCTGCTGTTGCTGCTGCTGCTGCGCTATGATCGTGGGGGGAACCCGCCTGGGGGCTGCTGCTGCAGGGCCCTGCGCGGCCGTCTGCAGGGAGGGCCTCAGAAGCCCTTGCTGCTGCATGCGCGTGTCTGCTGCTGCTGTGGGACTTCTGCGACCGGCAGCAGGCGGCAGCAGCAGCAGCAGCAGCAGCAGAGTGCCTCCACAGCAGCAGTTGCTGCAGCACTGCAGCTTGACGCCTCGCTTGCTTTCCGTTCCCCGTTCCTCCCCGGAGAAGCAGCTCTGTCCGGTGACGCCGCAGGCCCTGTTGCTGCACCAGCAGCAGCAGCAGCAGCAGCAGCAGCACCTGCTGCAGCAGGTGCGGCTCTACACCCCGCCCTCACGGCGCACCTGGTCGAAGCAAAATGAAAAGCTGCACATCCGGAGGCCCTTAGTGGAGTCTTTTGCTGCTCACAAGCTGCACCCCACGCTGCAGTGGTGGAGGGAAAGAAGACACAAACCGGGTCTGCTGCTGCTGCTGCTGCTGCTGCTGTACTTGTAGCTGCTGCCCCTGCAGCTGCGCTGGTGCCCGCGAGCTAGCTAGCTAGCTAGCTAGCTAGCTAGCTCGCGGGCTAGCCAGCAGCTGGGCAGTTCGTTAACTAGCTTCGGATGTCCGCTTACCCTCACCTTCATCTGCGTGGCTAGCTAGCTAGCTAGCTAGCTACAAGCTATCTAACTGGCTAGCTAGCTAGCTAGCCATAAACTATCTAGCTAGGTAGCTAGCCACAAGCTAGCTAGCCAGCTAGCTACAAGCTAGCCAGCTGAAGGCTAGCTAGCTACCAACTAGCTCGCTAGGCAGTCACAGGCTAGCTAGCTACGAGCTAGCTAGCTAGCTAGCTAGCTAGCCAGCTAGCTGGGCCTTGGCTGCTGCTGCTGCTGCTGCTTGTTTGCAGACACCTTCATGGGCCTGCCGGACCCGCTGCTGCTGCAGCTGCGCGGCGGCAGCAGCTACTTCGAGCAGCAAGACTTGGTGGGCGTGGCTTGTGCTGCAGTGCGGCTGCAGCGTTCAGGTGTACGTACACCTGAGTTGTGGGGCCCCCTGGCGCGCCGCGCTGCTGCAGCCGCGCTGGGGGGGCCCCCCACAAGTCTTGCTGCAGCATTTGCTGCTTTTGCTGCAGCAGATGTCCGCGATGCCCCAGCTGTACGTACACTCCAGGGCGCGCTGCAGCACAAAATCGGGCAGCTGCTGCCCCTCGATGTTGCTGCTGTTTTGGAGGCCATGGCAAACCCTTTCTACTTCTCCCACAGGCGAGGGTTTAGGGTTTAGGGTTTGCGCTTTAGGGTTTAGGGTTTGGGGTTTAGGGTTTAGGGTTTACACTGTCGGGGCCGGGCGCTGCGCATTTCACTGTCGAACGCAACAGCGCTGCTCAGCGCTTTCAGGAAAGCACTGGGGTTTAGGGTTTAGGGTTCAGGGTTTAGGGTTTAGGGTTTAGGGTTTGGGTTTCAGGCTGACGGACGCTGCAGTGAGCCACTTGGAGCTGCTGCTGCAGCACAGAAAGGACTGGACAGCAGAAGACTTTGCTGCTTCTTTGCGGGCCCTCGCTCGCCTGGGCCTCAACGAGCCCCAGCTGCTTGCTTCTCTAGGTAGCCCTGCTGCTGCTGCTGCTGCTGCTGCTGCTGCTGGTTGTTGTTGCTGCTGCTGGTTGTTGCTGCTGCTGTTGGTCCTGCTGGTTGGTGCTGCTGCTGCTGCTGGTTCTGCTATTCTTGCCGCTGCTGCTGCTGCTGCTTTCCAGATGCACACGCTGTGAAGGCTCCGAAGTGGTAGTATCACTGCTGCTGCTGCTGCTGCTGCTGCTGCTACTGCTGCTGCTGCTGTTTGCGAAGGGGAGCGACTGGTGGCCAGCGGCGCTGTGGGGCTGCCATCGAATTTGCTGCTGGATGCAATTGAGGCCCTTTGCGTGGCTTACCCTGCTTTAACCGCCTGTGTCCAGTACCAGCAGCAAACCAGCAGCAGCAGCAGTAGCAGCAGCAGCAGCAGCAGCGGGGATGCAGATGCAGACCTGGCAGCGCACCTCAGGAAGCCAAACCCTATGAAGTACACTTCGCCGCCTCCCCCCAAAACTCCCTACAACACCCCCATTTCTTACAAGCCTCCCCGGCAGCAGCAGCAGCAGCAGGAGGTGGAGCAGCTGCAGCAGCAGCAGGTGGAGCAGCAGCTGCAGCAGCAGCAGCAGGAAGGGGAACCTCTTTGCCCCGTGTTCGTCTCGTGGCTGCCTGTGCTGCTGAACGCTTTGCTGCGCGAAAGCCCCCGAGGCAGCTTAACTGCAGCAGATGCTGCTTCTGCCTTGTCGCTGCTTGCTGCTGTCACCCGCAAGGATACAGCAGCAGCAGCAGCAGCAGCAGCAGCAGAAGCAACAGAACCCCATGTCGCAGCAGCAGCAGCAGCAGCAGCGGCAGCAGAGAGACGAGCGGCAATAGCCGCTGCCGTCTCAAAGGCCCTGAGAGAGCCTATACAGCGCGGTGCCTCTGCAGCTAAGTAGCAGCAACAGCAGCAGCTGCAGCAGCAGCAGCAGCAGCAGCAGCACTTTGCCTGTGGCAGCTGTGGAGGCGCTGCGGGGGCGCAGTTTGAATGCTTCTTTTTGCTGCTGCAGCCAACCACAGCCTCGGAGTTCTTTTCGTTTGTACATTCGCATAATTTAATTTAAAACTAAATTTTAAAATTTTAATTATTTAATTATTTTTAATGTTCTTTGCTTCTCTTCGGGCCACAACAAGTAAGGCATATTTCTCGCAGCCAAAGATATGCGTGGACACTGAGGAGCGCCCGCGCAGCAGCAGCAGCTGCAGCTGCAACAGCAGCAGTTGCAGCTGCAACAGCAGCAGCAGCATCAGCAGCAGACGCCAGTTAAGGAGAAGCCTAAATTGGCACTTAATGCCCCTTTTATAAAAGCAACAGTCTCAGAGAAATGAACTCAAATAAGTAGAGAGTTTAATTTGAGAGAAATAAAACAGCAAATAAATCAAAAAAAGTAAAAAAAACTAAAATTCTAAGAGCTTTTAGCCCACAGGAATGCTCGTAAAGGCCTCCAGAAGGCTGTGCACAAACCCTAAACCCTAAACCCTCACTGCTGCTGGAGCTCAGCGTCGAACTAGGCGCGGCGCCCGAAATCGCAAACCCTCTGAGCTGCTCCTGCTGCAGAAAGAAAGGAATAACAAACAGCTTAAATAAATAAATAAATAAATAATAAATAAATAAATAAATAAAAATGAATGAGCGAACAGCGACGTCAGAAAAGAGCCACTTGCTGTCTTGCAACACAGTCCAGCACCGATGTATCAGCGGGAGCAGCAGCAGCAGCAGCAGCAGCAGTAGGAGCAGCAGCAGCAGCATTTCAAAGGCAAAGTGGATTTGAAGTAAAAAACAGTTTAGCAGCAAATTAACTACACGAATGAACCGCAGCAGGCAGCAAGCTGCAGCCGAACAGCCAGGCCTCCAGTGGGGCCCCCGTTGAGGCCCATGGCAGCAGCAGCAGCAGCAGCAGCAGGTGCTGCTGCTGCTGCTAGAACAGCAGCAGGAACAGCAGGAAAAGCAGCACAAGCTGCTGGGACAGCAGCAAACTCTGCTGTTAAGGTAAAATCTGGTAACACATTTCCTGATTGAGCCGCGTTCGCTGCTGCCGCTACCGCTGCTGCTGCTGCTGCTGCTTGTTGGCTGCTGCAGCAAACAGCCAAGGCCTCCAGATCTCTGGGATCGACAGCTCCCGCCCATGTCTTGCTGCTTTCTTTTTGGAAATATTAGGGTTTAGGGTTTAGGGCTTCTATTTGGCGCTGTTTCTGAGGCGCCACCCCGCAGCAGACCACCCGCCACTGCTGCTGCTGCTGCTGCTGCAGCTGCAGCGGGGTGGCAGCCACGGCGTGTGAGGGCGAGCAGTATGCCCATGCTGCCTTCAGCACTACGCGCTCTGCTGCTGCTGCAGCGGCGGCTGCTGCCGCCCCTGTTGCTGCTGCTGCTGCTGACTTCTTGCTGCCTAGAGCTCTCTGCTGCTGCTCCTTTTGCTGCCCGCTGCAGCCCCGGGGGGGCCCCTCAGTCCCCTCTGTGTGGCCCTGGGGGCCCCCAACTGGGCTTTCTGCTGCCTATTGGGGTTGACTGCATGCCCCGGGCAGCAGCAGCAGCAACACCAGCAGCAGCAACAGCAGCAGCAGCAGCAGCAGCAAAGCCACCGGTTGAACGAGAGGCCCAGCCGGACTACTCCGACGCAGAGGGTCAACCCGAGGAGCCTCTTGGGCAGCAGCAAGAGCCACAGTCGAAGCCTCCGGCGCAGCAGCGGCAGCAAGCGCCGCAGCAGCAGCAGCTAGCGCCACCGCTGCAGCAGCAGCAGCAGCTGCCCCTGCAGCAGCCGCCGTTTGAGCAGCAAACTAGGTGGGGTGAGTGGGGCAGCAGCAGCAAGTGGCGGCGACCCTGGAGGCGACGACGGCCTTGGGCTCTACGGCCACGCCCACAGCAGCAGCAGCAGCAGCAGCGGCAGCAGCAGCAGCAGCAGCCCGCTGATGGCACGGCGCCGGCCTTGTGGAGGAACCCCAGGTGGCAGAGAAGAACAGCAGCAGCAGCAGCGGGAGGTGCAGCAGCAGCAGCAGGAAGTTTTCTGCGGCCACAAGGACTGCCTGCCCCCATGTTTGAGCCGCAGCAGCAGTGGCTCTCCCCTTTGCCGCCAGCAGCAGCAGCAGCAGCAGGCGAGAGCTGGGAACTTCCCCGCGAGATCGACGTGGGGCTGCTGCAGCAGCAAGATCTGCTGCTGCAGCAGCAAATGGAAGCTGTGCTGCCGCTTTCTCTAAGTCCTGAGGCCCTCAGCGATATTGTTGAAGGCAGCAGGAGGCAGCATTTGCTGCTGCTGTCGCGGCACGAGGGCCCCCCCCCGCTGCGGGTATCGCTAGCTGCTGCTCGAAAATAACATGTTGCTGCTGCAGCAGGAGGCAGCACAGAGGCGCCGCAGACGAGAAATCCTCAACGAAGCCCTAGTTAGACATGGCCTTGAAATAAAGTGTGTCTTAGTGTTTAGGGTTTAGGGTTTAGGGTTTAGGGTTTGGAGGGGCCACTCGTTTCGCTGTGCTGCTGCTTTCTGTATGGGCTGCTCGTTTGCTGCTTCTGCTGCTGCGGGTGCGCCTTCGCCTGCTGCGTACTTCGCTGCTTAGGGCCCGCTGCTGCTGCCGCTCACCTGCTGCTGCTGCTGCTGCTGCTGCTGCTGCTGCAGCCCTGCAAGCTGGCTGTGCCGCTCTTTCGTATACTTGCGGCGGACGCCAATTAAGAGTCTCGTCTTCGCGCTGTGGAGAGACAGAGTCTTAGACCAGCTCTACGAGCCCATGCAGCAGCAGCAGCAGCAGCAGCAGCAGCAAAGTGGCAGGGGAATTGCTGCGCTCGAGGAGGACTGGCAGAAGCACATTTTGTGGACAACAGGGATAGATCTCCTGGCTCACCCAGTAAGCTCCGTTTGCTGCTGCCGCCTCTGCCTTTGCTGCTACTGCCGCTGCTGTTGTTGCCGCTGCTGCTGCTGCTGCTGCTGCTGCTGCAGCATAGACAGCCTGCGGTGCTTGGCTTGCTGCAGCACCTGGAGAAGACCCTGCTGCTGCGGAAGGAAGCTTTTGTGCAGCGGAGGTATAAGGCCGTAGTGCGGCGGCACCCGGGCTCGAGGTTTAGGTACATTCCCCCGCATTTCGGCAGCAGCAGCAGCAGCAGCAGCAGCAGCAGCTACAGCAGCTACAGCAGGGCGATTCCTCAGCAGCTGCCACCTAGGCCGCCCAGACAGACCCGCTTGGCTCCAGGGAGCCGGCGAGGAGTGCAGCAAGATCATCAGCAGCAGCTGAAGCAGCAGCAGCCGCTGCAGCAGCAGCAGCAAGATTCTCAGCAGCACCTGCCAGCGGACGGCGCCGACGGCACGGAGCTCGCTGAAGAGGGAACAGCAGCTGCGGCGACAGACGAAACAGCAGCAGCAGCAGCAGCAGCAGCAGAGGAGGGCAAGACGCAAGAGAAGGCCCGGCCATCTCGCCGTGGGAGGCGTAGCGCGCAGCAGGAGACAGAAGCAGCAGCAGCAGCAACAGCAGCAACGATGAAGCTGCCACTGGAGGAGGCCGTGTCCACTGAAGATTCAGATGCTACGGGCAGCAGCAGCGACAGCAGCAGCGACGGCAGCAGCAGCGACAGCAGCAGCGACGGAAGCAGCAGCGACAGCAGCAGCAGCGACCTCATAGAGCTGCCAGTTAGCAGCGCAGATGCTACGGGCTGCAGCGACGACAGCAGCAGCGGCGACAGCAGCAGCAGCGACAGCAGCAGCAGCGACTTTATGGAGCTGTCAGTTAGCAGCACAGATGAGGAGTTGCTGCCTGCTGCTGCTGAAGGCGCAGAGCAAGAGGAGGAGCTGCAGCAGCAGTAGCTGCTGCTGCAAGAGCTGCTGCGAGAGCAGCTGTTGCAGCAGAAGCCAGCTGCTGCAGCAGCAGGCTTCTGCTGCAACTAGCGCGCAGCCGACATCTTTCCGTTTGTTTTTAACTAGATCTAAAACTAATTTCATTCATCTTGTCCGTTGTCCTTTTGCTGCTGCACCCTTCGCGCTGCAGTTTCTATAGGCTGCCTACTGCTGCTGCTGTTGCTGTTGCTGCACTTGCTGCTGCTCTGCGTTGCTGCTGATGAGGATACAGCAGCAGCAAGAGGGCTGCGGGGTGTAAGAACAATACTTCATATAGTGCTAGCTGCAGCAGCAACTGGACGGTGTGCCAGCAGCAACAGCAGCAGCCAACACGACACCAACCCTAGCAGCAGCAGCAGCGGCAACAGCAACACCAGCCCTAGCGCCAGCAGCAGCAACAACAGCAACCCAGCAGCAACTCTAGGAGCAGCAGCAAAAACACAGCAATGGCCACTTGCCTAGACTTGAGGTCCCCTCGTAGAAATAAGGGGCTGCAGCAAACGCCATAAAACACTAGCTTGCACCAGACAATGCAGCAGCGGCAGCAGCAGCAGCAGCTGCTGCTGCTGCTGCTGTTTCTGCTGCTGTTGCTGGCTCTCCTGCTGCCCCACTAGGGGCTACCGGACTTCCAGAGGCGCCAGGCGCTGCAGCATCTGCTGCACGTGCTTCTGTTGCCTGTGCAGCAGCGGCAGCAGCAGCAGCTGGCGCTGCGTCCGTGGCAGCAGCAGGTGCTGCTGATTCTGCTGCCTCTGATGCGGATGCTGTCGAGCTGTCTGCGGCAGCTGTGCCTGCAGCTGAAAGCGCTTCTGCAGCAGCAGCAGCATCTTGACGCTTAGCAGCAGCTGCGTCTGTATTTGCAGCTGCTGCAGGCTTCGGTGGGGCATCTCCCTGGCGCTCAGCAGCAGCAGCAGCAGGAGCAGCTGCAGCAGCTGCTGCGACAGTCCTGTCTCCCGTTGGAGCATTCCTCACCTCTTGCTGCTGCTGTGAATTGTTGGACGTGGCAGCAGCAGCAGCAGTGCCATGGTCCGCTGCAGCAGCAGCAGCAGCAGCACGCATTTCGGGGATGCGCAGCGCCAGCTGTATCGCTAGAAAGGCCCACGCTGCCAGCAGCAGCAGCCCCAGCAGCAGTTGGGCCCAAAAGCGCCTTTGTTCCTCTCGCTGCAGCAGACACAGCAGCAGCAGCAACAGCAGCAGCAGCTCCCTGTAAAGCGCGGCAAAAGACTCAGCAGCAGCTGAGTCTTCAGCAGCAACTGCAGGCAGCGCCACCACGTACTGATGCAGAGCCAGCCGCAGCAATCAGCGTAGCAGGAGCAACACCAGCAGCAACGACAGCAGCAGCAGCAGCAGCTTGAACTAACCGCAAGGTAGAGCGAAAGGACAATCCCTATAGGGTGGAGGAGCGAGGCTGCGCGGACGTCAGCATCCTGCTGCTGCTGCAGCGCGTCGTCTGCCATGGCTGCAGCGCTGCCGCTGCTGCTGCTGCTGCTGCTGCTGGGGGGCAGCAGCCCCCATAGACGCAGCAGCAAATCCAAAGGCCACAACAAACAACTGCGACAAAAACCCCACAAACCCAAAACGCGGCTGCCGGGCGGCAGCGCAGCATCGCTCAGCAGCTGCCAGTACACCTGAGCAGCAAACGCCAGCAGCACACCCCACAAAACGCATGCACAGCAGCTCAGCGCAAATGCATGCATGCATGTACGCATGCATGCAGATAAACAAGCAAATGCATGCCCGCATGCATGCACACATGGATGCAAACAAGCAAGCATGCACGCAGGCCGGCAATAGCAGCAGCAGCACCAACAGCAGCAGTAGCAGCAGCACTCGTAGCAGCAGCAGCAGTAGCAGTAATAGCAGCAGCAGCAACGGCAGCAGCAGTAGCGGCAACAGCAACAGCAGCAGCAGCAAAGCCACCTTTACAGCTTCTTCTCTTTGGGGGGGCCCCCCAATCCCATCTTCTTTTAGCCTCGCCAGCGCGTAGAGGCCCCTGCCATCTCCTGTTGCTGCTGCTCTTTCTGCCCAGTAGCGGCTGAGAGCAGCAGCAGTTTCTGCTGCTTCCCGCAGCGCCTGCTGCTCTTCCTGCTGCTGCTGCAGCTCCTGCCGCGGCTGCTGCTGCTGCGGCTGCTGCTGCTGCGGCTGCGCTTCCTCCTCCTCCGCCGCTCCTGCTGCAGCTTCTGCTGCTGGCGCTGCTTTCGCTGCCGCTGCTGCTGCTGCAGCAGCCTTGATTGCAGCAGTAGATTCGGCTGCAGCAGCAGCGTACATCTCCGCCAGGCTGACCATGGAGGCGGCGTCGCCCTGATACACAAAAGCAGCAGCAGCAGCAGCAGCAGCAGAAAACAAACTGGTCCCCTAAATGGCAACAAAGCTGCTGCTGCTCTAGTTAGTGCTTCTTGTCCCATTTATCACATCTGTCTTTTTCTGCTGCTGCTTTTGCTGCTTCCTGCTGCCTCCTGCTGCCCCTTGCTGCTGCCTGCTGCTTCCTGCTGCCTCTGACTTTTATTTCTGTCACTTTTTTGTCTTTTTGATCCCCTTTTGCTTCTTTTTGTGTCTACTTTTTCCTCCTCATTATCTCTTAGCTGCTGCTAACTTCTACTTGTCGTTTTTTCTCTTTTTTGTCTTTTCATCTTTTTATCTTTTGCTGCTGCTACCTGCAGCGCAGCTCTTCTGTAAGCAGCAAAACGGCAGGCCGTTGCTGCTGGGGCTTGTGGGGTTTTGAGGGCTTTTGGAGACACGAGCCAGCAGCGGAGGAATTCGGAGACTCGGAGGTGCTGCAGCTGCTGCCGCGCAGCAACTGCAGCAGCGCGAGCAGCAGCAGCAGCAGCAGTAGCAGCGGGCGGCGTGCATGCGCGCTCGCCGTCCAGCAGCAGTTCTACCGACACCCCAGGGTCTCCTCGTGCATGCAGTTGCTGCACTCCTGCTCGGGAAAGTGGAGACACCCGAGTCTGCAGCAGGCAGTTTGCTCCTGCTGCTGCTACATGGGCCTCCACTGCTGCTGCTGCTGCTGCTGCTGCTGCTGCTGCTCCTTCGCCCTCCGCAGGCAGGGCCACTGACGGGTCTGCGTAACGCGCCAGCAGCAGGCTGCGCGTGCCCTCTTCTGCATCTGCTGCTGCAGCAGCAGCAGCAGCAGCTGCTGCTGCTGCTGCTGCTGCGCTATTCTCTGCATTCTGCTGCTGCGGCTGTTGCTGCTGCTGTTGCTGCTGCTGCGACACGGCCCCTTCGGCGGGAAGCTGCTGCTGCTGCTGCGGCTGCGCATCTGAGCCGCCGGAGGCTTCCTCTGCTGCTGTTTCTGTTGCGGTTACTGCTGCTGTGCTGTTGGCGCTTGGAGCTGCATCTGCTGCTGCTGCAGCGGAGGCAGCTGCAGCAACAGCAAGGTCCGCCTGGAGCAGCGAGTCCATGAGCACCTGCAGCGCCTGCTGCCGCTGCTGGTGCTGCTGCGCTGCAGACTCCCACAGTGCAGCAGCAGTCACGTGAGCAGCTAAGTGGCCAGTTTCGGACAGCAGCAGCAGCAGCAGCAAAGCCCCAGAAACGTCGCCCTGCCGGTGCGCATGCAGCGACAAGGCCTGCAGCAAATTGACCCGACGGTGCAGAAACGCCACCTTTTCCAGCACCTGCACGCAACACAAACCCTAAACCCTAAACCCTAAATCCTAAACCCTAAACCCGAAACCCTGAACCCTAAACCCCGGAGTGTAGGCCCTAAAGTGTGAACGCTCCGCCCTAAAGTCTCGAATCTGGGCCCTAAACTCAATCCTCCCAATCGCAAGACCTAAACCCTAAGCCCTAAACCCTAAACCCTAAACCCTAAACCCTATACTGCAGCAGCGGGGCGCAGACCTTCAAAGCAATGCTGCAGCGCTGCTTGGAGCTCTTGTGGTGGGGAGAAGCTCCCTGCAGCAGCAGCAAACCGGAGCTGTAAGCTGCTTCTGGATGGCCAGCAAGTGCAGCTTTTGAAAAGTATGTGAGGGCTTCAGTCATGTTGCCTGCTGCCAGCAGCTGGCCCCTCCCTACTGCTGCTACTGCTGCTGCTGCGGACGACCCGGACGCGCCGCCCGCCGGCTCTGCTGCTGCTGCTGCCGCTGCTGCTGCTGCTGATGTGGGACCCAGAGCAGCAAGGTGTGCTGCAGCGTACAGCACCTGCGCGTTGCTGTCGCCCAAGTCTGCTGCTGCGCGCAGGGCTTCGCCTGCAGCAGCAGCAGCAGCAACAGCAGCACCAGCGCAATTTGAAAGACAGAAAGGAGGACAGCAGCGACCAGTCGAGACCAGAAAATCGCCAAGGGAGGACACGAAGCGAGCTTAGCAACAGCAGCAGCAGCAACAGCAGCAGCAGAAGCAACAGCAGCAGCAGTAGCAGAAACAGCAGCAGCAGCAGCAACAGCACCACCAGCAGGGAGGCACGTGGCACACTAAAGGATATATGAAAAGAAGACCAAAAAAAAGCCAAGAGAGGCAAACAAAAGCGCAAAATGAAAATAAAGGAGACCAAAAGGGCAAAAGAAAAAAGGAAAATTGGAAAAGAAAAAAAGGAGAAAAAAAAGACACCTGCTAAAGTTGCATTTGTTTCCTGCAACAGCCCATAACGCCAGGCCAAAAAGCGCGCCGTGTGGGGCGCGGGGCCAGAGCCCTCAGCAATGACCTGCAGCAGCAAAGCACAGCAGCAGCAGCAGCCAGCAGCTCTCCAGCAGCAGCAGCAGCAGCAGCTGCAGCAGCAGAGGCGGTGACGGCGGCGCTAGCAGCAGCAGCAGCGGCAGCAGCGCGTGGACTCTCTTGCTGCTCCGGCCCAACTGCTTCTGTCTCCTCCTACTTTACTTTCTCTTTCTGAGCACCCTGCTGCTGCTGCTGCTGCCTCTGCGCTGCCTTGCCTGCTCTAGAAGAGCCTCCGCTGGGTGCTGCTCCTTTTCTTTCTTCTGCTGCTCCTCCTCGCGCAGACCCCAGCTGGAAAGAAATCCATTTAGCAGCCCCAGCAACCCTCCCCTTGCGTTTGCTGCTGCTGCTGCTCCTCCTGCTGCTGCTGCTGGGCCTGCTGCTGCTGCGGCTCCGGCGCCTGGGTCAGCACCAGCACCTACGGCACCAGGGCCAGCAGCAGCAGCTGCTCCATTAGCAGCAGCAGCCGCAAGTCCTGCTGCTGCTGCTGGTGCTGGAGCTCTTGCTGCTTCCGCAGCAGCTCCGGCTGCTGCTCCCGCTTGGGGCTGCTGCTGGGCTGCGCCTGCAGCTGCTGCAGCTGCTGCTGCTGTCGGCTGCCCCTCCAGCAGCAAATGAGCTGCTGCTAAGGCAGCATTCGCATCTCCTCTTTCTGCTGCTTGCCGCAGCAGGTCCAAAGCCCGGTGTCGGTCCCTTGGAATCCCAGCTGCAGCAGAAGCAGCAGCAGCAGGAAGTATTCATACGAGGTCCCAATCTCCTCCCGACGGCAACACCAACAGCAGCACCAAAGGCACCAGCAGCAGTTTGGAGCTCCATAGCAGCAGTAGCAATAGCAGCAGCAGCAAAGCCAGCAGCAACGGCAATGAGACCACAGCGACAGCAGCAAACGGACATCAACCCGCAGCCGCCCCCAGGGCACCGCCCAAACCAGCTGCTGCCCCAGCAGCAGCCCCAGCAGCCGCAGCAGCAATTGCAGCACCAGCACTCTCAGCAGCAGCAGCCGCAGCTCCAGCAGTCCCAGCAACAGCCCCAAGAGCAGCAGCAGCAGCAGCTCGAGCAGCAGCCCCAGCAGCAGCAGCAGCAGCAGCAGCAGCAGCAGACCCTCTGCATTCCCGTGGAGGTAGAGATCAGCAAGCGCCGCAAGCCCCTCAGGCTCTCCATCTTCAGCAACTGCATGCACGAGTGCAGCATAGTCTCTGCTGCTGTGCTGGAGGGGGCCCTGCTGGGGGGCCCCATAGGCAACAGAGTCGGGAGCAGCAAGCTGCTGCAGCAGCTCTTCCAAGGTTTGCAGCTGCTGATACGCCTTGGGAGCCCTGCTGCTGCTGCTCGATGGCGGGGCGAAAGCTGCTGCCTCCCCCGGCCCCCGCAGGAAGAAGGAAGCAGGCACGCGCGTCAGGTGCACGTGCTCCTGTTCCTGCTGCAGCTGCTGCTGCTGCAGCGCTGCTGCTGCTGCTGGCAGCAAGTGCCGCAGAGACGCGCTGCAGTCGCCTGCATCTTCGCTTCCTGCAGCAGCAGCAAAAGCGGCACTGACAAAACAAAAGCAAGTGCGACGCAGCAGGGCTGCAACAGGGCGAACTTTCGGTGCCCTTGCTGCTGCTGCTGCTGCTAGTCCTGCTGCTGCTGCTTCTACTGCTGCTGCTGCTCACCCAGTCGCTGCAGCGCCACCAAAAAGCTGGCATTCTTCTCCTCCTCAGTGGGCTGGTCGAGGTGTCTCGGCACCTCTAGGACAGCTCCGTCTTTGCCCATGGAGAACCTGGGGCCAGCAGCAGCAGCAGCAGCAGCAGCACCAGGAGCAGCAGCAGCAGGGGGAGGCACCTGCTGCGCCCAGAAGCTGCGCTGCGCGCTGCCAGCCTTCAGAGAAGAGTCGCTGCGCCCAGTCTTCAGATAATATGCTGCAGCAAGAGAGCCCAGGGCCTCTCCTGCATGTGCTGCCAGCAAATACTTGACCACGGGAAAGTCCGACCTGTACATACACCCCACACCCCACACCTTCACGCCGGGTCCAAGTGCTGCTGCTGCAGGGGCAGCAGACAAAGCAGCAGCAAAGACAAGCCGCAAAGGAACGACTGCGCGGCCCCTCATGCTGCAGGAACGCCACAGCAGCAGAAGCAGGAGCTGCAGCAGCAGAAGCTGCTGCATCAGCAGCATGGAATGAATCAGCAGCAGGAGCTTGATCCGCAACGGAAAGTCTAGAAGCAGCAGCAGCAGCTACAACACCAACAGGAGCAGCTGCAGCAACATCTCCAGCAGCAAAAAGGGCTACATCTGCAGCAGGAGCTGCAGCAGCAGCAGGAGCTGCAGCAGGCGCTGACCTGTTTTTGCTGAGGCGCTCCTGCTCCTGTCTGTACTTGGGCATGTGCAGCAGCGGGACGTCGAAGGGCTGCTGCAGCGGCGGTGCTGCTGCTGCTTCCTTATTTGCTGCTAGAAAGAGAGTTAGCGAAGAGGGGCTGTGCTGCAGCGCCCAGCCCTCAGCCCCCAGCACCAGCGACGGGACGCCAATTGCTGCCAAGAAGCCTGAGGAGCCACAGCAGCAGCAGCAGCAGACCCTCACAGCAGCAGCAGCAGCAGCTGCTGCAGCAGCAGCTCCTGCTCTGGGGACTGCGTGTACCAGCGCAGGAGCCGCAGCAGCGCAGCAGCCGCCGCCGCCGCCCGCGCCCGCCGCCGCCCCGCAGCAACCAGACCACCCCCGCACCCCCCACAGCAGCAGCAGCAGCAGCAGCAGCAGGCGCACCGTCAAGCAGCAGACAGAGGGCTGAGGGGGGCTTGGCGCTCCTGCCTGCAGCAATTGCTTTGGCAGCTAAAGAGAAGTCCCGCGGCCAGCCGCCGGGCAGCTGCAAACGGCCCCCCTCATCAGCAACTCCAAAAAGAGACAAAAAAGCAACAACACCAATTGCTGCTGCTCGCAGCACTTGCTGCTTCCCCCGCGGCAGCTGCTGCAGCTGCGCAGCCACTGCGGGCCCGTGCACAGGCTCCGGGGATATCGGGTCCGGCAGCAGCAACGCCAAGTCCTCTTCGTCCTCCCCCCGCTGCCGCTGCTGCTGCTGCTGCTGCTGCCTCTGCTGCGGCAGCCGCAGCAGCAGCCGCAAGTAGTAGTAGGCGTCTCCGAAGCTGGTCACTAAACGGCCCACGCCTTCTCTTTCTTTTGCTGCAGCACGAGCTGCAGCAAAGGCAGCCTCCTCTGCAGTCAGCGCTGCTGCTGCTTCACTGCTGCTGTTCCTGCTGCTGCTGCTGCTTTTGCTGCTCTGGCCTGCCTGCAGCAGAGACATCCGCCCAGCAGCAAAGAGAGCCGCAAAGTCGAGGGCATCATCCGGCACAAACAGCACAGGCACGTCGCTGCTGCTGCTGCTGCTGCTGCCGCTGTTGCTGCTGCTGCTGCTGCGACCCTTCTTCGGGCCGTCTCCTTGGAGAGCAGCAGCTGTTGCCGCAGGAGAGCTCCCTGCTTCTGCAGCAGTGGTGCGAGAGGAGAGAGATGATGCTGCGCCGTGGGGGGGCTGCTGCAAACTATCGGGAGCAGCAGCAGCAGCAAGTGGAGTGGCAGCAGCAGCTGCTGCAGGTGCTGCAGTTGGCGCTGCCGCATTTATCGCTGTTGCTGCTGCAGCAGTGGAAGACGCCGAGTCGCTTGGAGGCGTCGGCACGGAAACTCCTGGCGACCGCGTGCTGCTGCTCGTCGTGCTGCTACTGCTGCTGCTGCTGCTGCTGCTGCTGTGTGAGTCCTTTGCTTCCTCCGTCTTCTGCTCCCTCTGCAGCAGATCCACGACGAGTGCCCTTAGCCTGCGCATCCGAAGCAGCAGCCGCAGCAGCCGAATCTGCAGCAGCACTGGAATCAGCAGCAGCAGAAATGACCAGCAGCAGCGACAGCGGAATGATGAGCAGCAGCAGCAGCAGACTGAGGAGCAGCACCAGCAGCAGAACGAGGAGCAGCAGAACAAGCCGAACGAGGAGCAGGAGCAGCTGCGGAACGCGGAGCAGCAGCAGCAGAATCAGAAGGAGCAGCAGCAGCACCGGAACGAGGACGAGCAGCAGCAGCAGCAGAATAAGGAGCAGCAGCAGCAACAGCAGACTGAGGACCACAGGAGCGCGGGGCAGCAGTAGGAGCAGCAGCAGGCGCAGCAGCACGAGCAGCAGCAGGCGCAGCAGCACGAGCAACAGCAGGCGCAGCAGCAGCAGCAGCAGCAGCAGCAGGGTGTACAGCTGGCGCTCGCGCTCGACTGCTTCGTGTTCGTCAACTTCGTGCTGCTGCAGCGGCGTCAGCAAAGCTCCAGTTTGAATTCCATCTTCGGGATATAAAGGAGAAAACCAAGACTGAGGATAAACATCTCTTTTGTGAAGAGCTGCTCGCAGCAGCACTTCCTGTTCGATGCGGGTCCACGCGGCCTCGAGTGCCTGCTGCTGCTGCTGCTGCTGCTGCCAGTGCTGCAGCAGCTGCGGCTTCAGCTGCCGCAGCAGCAGCAGCACCTCGCTGCCGTCCACCTCCGCGCTGTAGAATCGCTCTTCTTCGCTGCTGTAGTAAATCCGGTGAGTGGCTCCATTAGAAATTGCTTCTTCGATTTCTGCCAGCCACTCCTCTGGGCTGCTACTGCTGCTGCTGCTGCTGCTGCTGCTGTCGGGGTCCAGCAGGTGCTCCTCAGCCTCCGCCTCGTCCTCTGCGTCCCCGCTGCTGCCCTCCTCCTCAGACGCGCCGCTGCTGCTGCTGCTGCTGCTGCTGCTCGCCTGCAGCAGCAATTCGTCTCCCTCGTCACCGAAATCTGTGAACGCCTCGTCGTCATCTATTTCTACGCGATCCACTTCCCGCAGAGGACCTGTTGCTCCTGCATCTGCTGCTGTCGCTGCTGCTGCTGCTGCTGCTGCGTTGGGAGGCACCCACGACAGCACCAGCAGCAGCAGCAGCAACTGCTGCAGCAGCAGCAGCACGCGCCACTTAAGGCGCCTGAGCATCATCCGTTGACAGGCTGGGACTTCTACCCGTCGGCTGCGACAACGTTAGCAGCAGCGGCAGCAGCTGCGGGTGCTGTTGCTGCTGCCGCCGCCGTTCCAGTGCTTATTTCCCTGCTGCTGCTGCTGCTCCTGTTGTTGCTGCTGTTGCTGCTGCGAAGCAAACGGGTGCCTCCCGCGGTTGGCTTCCCCAGCCGTAGCCAAGACCTACACCAATTTGAATGCTCAGTGTACCTGAGCCGCAGCAACTGCAGCAGCAGCAATTGCAGGAGCAGCAACTGCAGCGGCTGCGGGTGCAGCAGCTGCTGCTGCGTACCTTTCACTGCCAAGGGACAGACAGGACAGTAAACCAAGTAAATAGAAAGCTGATAGGAGGTCCCGGAAAGGGTGCTGCTGCTGCTGCCGCTGCTGTTGCTGCTCTGCTGCTGCAGCGGGGGCCCCCCCAAGTCAACGGCGGGCGCGAGTCAGCAACTTGCTGCTGCTCCGTGAGGCAGCTGCTGCTGCATTAAGTGTTGCAGTTGCTGCTGCAAAGCAGTAGCTACAAGTGGCGATCCCACAGTATCGCGGCTGCAGCTGCCGCAGTGACATGCTGCTGCAGCTGCCGCTGCTTCAAGTGCTGCAGCAGCAGCAGCAAGAGTTGTGCATAAACTGTCTACGACCAGGACAGGACGAGCTTCCCCAATAGCAGCAAAGTCAAAAAAATAATAAGCAGTTCTTCACACGGGGCCTCGCCAGTAGCAGCAGCAGCTGCTGCTGCTACTGCTGCTGCTGCTGCTGCTGCAGGGAGCTGGGGCGCCGGCAGTGGCGGCCCTACGCATTGCTGCTGGTAATACTCAAAGCAGCGACAAAAAAGTAGAAGTTGGGGCTATAGAGGAGCAGTGATGCTGTGTCCTTGCTGCTGCAGCAGCAAACCTACAACCCTGCAACGGTGGCGGCAGCAGCGGCACTGCAGCAACGTATTGAGCCGCCTTTGCTGCAGCGTTTGTCTGGAGGCTTTGTGGCCCCCAGGACTCAAACTTTAATTGTGACAACCCACAGCTAATAGATGTGCTGCAGCTGCAGCTGCTGCTCTGCTGCCCCTGATGCTGCGGCTGCCCGTTGCTCCCTGGGAACCTCGCTGCTGCTGCTGCTGCTGCTGTGTCTGCTAGGGAAGCCAAGGGCCCCACAGACGCAGCTGGCGCCTACTGAAGTTTCTGGCGCATGCAGGCGCTGTGTGTGGAGCTTCGGGGAAGACACACACGGCGAAACAGCAGCAGCAGCAGCAGCAGCAGCGCAGAAATAGCAGCACGACACGTGCAGACGAACGAAACAAAGTAGCAAACAGCAGCAAAAGGACGCCGCGAGACACTAGCAGCAGCAACGCAGCAGCAAACGTGTAATGAATAAAGCCCCAGAGCCACGCAGCCACCAGTAGTTGCTCTCTTCAGTGCCTGCTGCTGGAAGCAGCAGCAGCAGCAGCAGCTTGCAGAACGCAGCAACGGCAGCACAAGCTTTCAGAAGACATCGGCCAGCCAATGCCCACCGGTGTGGCAGCTAACTAGCTAGATGGCTGGCTAGCTGGCTAGCTAGTTGGCAAGCTAGCCGGCCAGCTAGCCAGCCAGCTAGTTCGTTAGCTCGCCAGATCTAAACCTGAAATTTTGCATCTTCATGTGACGTTGCAGTGTGCAGTCTGTCAGTCCCATCTAGCCAGCAGCAGTTGCAGCTGCAGCGCCCGCTGCTGCTGCTGCGCCTGCTGCAGCTGGTGCTGCAGCGCCTGCTGCTGCTGCACATGCTGCTGCTGTTGCTGTGCAGCTTTACACAGGCGGCGCCTTTTTCTTTCCTACTTGCAAATAGTGCGGATAACTGCAGCAGCTAGCTGGGGCACTCGCCGCTGGCTGGGGTTGCTGGCAGCTGGCTGGGAGCGCATGCAGCTAGCTAGGGGCACCCGTAGCTAGCAAGGCTGGTAGCTAGCTGGGAGCTCTCGTAGCTATCTGGGCATTGCTAGCAAAGTCAAGCGCGCAGCCAAATGCTGATAACTGCTGCCGGGACAGCTAGCTGCCGAGCAGCAGCTAGCCGCGCAGCTTGCTGCAGAGCAGCAGCTAGCCGCGCAGCTAGCTGCAGAGCAGCAGCTAGCTGCGCAGCAGGAGCGGGTAACTGCTGCCGGCGCAGCTAGCTGCGGATCAGCAGCTAGCAGCCGGAGCAGCTAGCTGCAGAGCAGCAGCTAGCTGCAGAGCAGCAGCTACTTGTCGCTCCGCAGCAAGCTGCGCAGTTAGCTGCTGTTGGGTAGCTGGTACAAATCACGGCGGGGTGCACAGCAAGTGGCTAGCGACGCAACTTCTGGCTAGCTAGGAAGCAGTGGCTACCTGCCCAGCTAATGGCTAGCTACACAGCTAATTAGCAGCTAGGCCTCCGGGCGCTTCAGTGTCTATTGTACGAAGGCGCAGCTGCCTTATTTTGGCGTTGCTGCTGCTGCAGAGGCCGCCACTGCTGCTGCTGCTGCACCGGCTGCAGCTGCTGCTGCTGCTAGGGCAAACCTTATGTCGAGTTTGCTTCTGTGCTAAACATTTCAGCGTACGCCTCGACGTGCATGTTGTGGGTGACAGGGGAGGCAGACAGCGCAGCAGCAAAATAGCTGCTGCAGCAGCTGCGGAGCTGCTGCAACAGTAGCTGCGGAGCTGCTGCAGCAACAGAGCCGCAACTGCAGCCGCAGCACCGCTGCTGCAAAAAAGCCAAGAGGACAACTGGGGCCTTCAGGCTGTGCTTGATGGACGGACCCACACACGCCGCACTGGCGAGACAAACACCTAAAGCAGTAGCAGCAGCAGAAGCAGTAGCAGCAGCAATAGCCACAGGAACAGCAGCAAAGCGCGGAGTAGGGCATCACTCCCCGCAGTTTTCACGTGCCACATGGGCTTTCAACCCACAGCAGCCTCTAAGGGAGCAGCAGCAGCACAACCTCCCGTAGCGCAACAGCAACAGCAGCAGCAGCGCCAGCAGCAGCAGCCGTGAAGCAGCAGGCCTTACGAGTTCAGGGGCTCCGCCGTCTGGGGGCTTCTCCAAGCAGCACACAGCGAGCTCCACTGCAGCAGCAGCCAAAGCAGCAGCAGGCAGCACCAGGCTAGGATCGAAGGAAGCAACAGCAACAGCGGCAGCAACAGCAAAACTAACAGCTGAGGCAACAGCAATAGTAGCAGCTAGAGCAGCAGCAGCAGCAACTAAAGCAGCAGCAACACAAGCAGCAACAGCCGCAGTAACAGCAGCAGCAAAGAAGCCTCACCCGGGACACTGCCCGACGTTGGGCCTGAGAACCCCACAGGAATGCTAACTACGGCCTCCCAGCCCCTCTTCCGGTGTGCAGACACACTAGCAGCAGAAGCAGCAGCAGCAGCAGCAGCGCCTGCCGGCCCCCTGCTGCAGCTGCCGCTGCTGCTGCAGCTCTCTGCCACGCTTTCAGCTGCTGGCAGCAAAGGTGGATGCGAAGCGCGCCGCTTCCAGCTGTCTACGGGGATGGAGTGGAAGAAGCACTCCGGTCTGCTGCTGCTGCCGCTGCAAGCGCTGCTGCTGCTGCTGCTGCTGCTGCTGTGAGCCGTTCGGCGCCTCTTGGTTGAAAGAAACGGAAAGAGGCACTGCTTACGCTGCAGCAAGCACAGAAGGCACTAGCTGTTAGCCTTCAACCCCCCCGTGAGCAGTGCGTGGCAGGAGCAGCAGCTGCTAACTTCGCAGCAGCAGCAGCAGCAGCTACAGATGCACCAACAGCTGCAGCAGCAGCAGCAGCAGAGGCACTCCGTGGAAGCAGCTCCAAAAACGGCAGCAGCAAATCTTCCCACACACATCTCAAGTCCATGTGGCCTACCGGTGCTGTCCCTGCTGTAGCAGGAGCACTAACAGCGGCAGCAGCAGCAACAGCAGCAGCAGCGCGAGCGCTGCTGGCAGGGGCGGCGAGGACGCTGCAGTGGCTGCTGGCCATCACTGCTTCCAGTAACCCAGAAGACTCTGCTGCATCTGCTGCTGCTGCCTCTTCTACAGCGGATGCTGCTGCGCTGCTGCTGCTCACTGCTGCTGGAGGGTCCCCAGCTGCAGCTGACGCTGCTGCTGCTGCAGGCTCCGTCAGAGGAGAAGCTTGGTGGACACAAACGAGGAGAGAGTTGAGCTGTTGCTGCTGCTGCTGCTGCAGCTGCAAACATATGGATACCTGCAGCAGCAAAGTAGAGCCCCCTGTGCAGCAGAAGGCCAGAGGGCGCGGCTGCATTTCAAGGGCGCAGAGGCCGACAAGGCTGCTGCTGCCATCATCAGCCACACAGCCAGCAACACGAGCTGCTGCTGCTGCTGTTGCTGCTGCTGTGGGCAGCAGCGTTGCAGCACCGCTGTCGCTGCTTGCAGCAGCCACCATTGTCGCTGCTAGCTCACTGCGCCATCCAGATCCTTGCAATTTTATTCGTCTTCGTTGTTGCTGCTGCTCTTGCTGTTGCTGCGATTGCTGTTGTTGTTGCTGCTGCTGCGCAACGGCTGCGCTGGAAGCCGCTGCTGCTACTGCGGCAGCAGGCGCTGTTCGCTGAAGCAGCGCCGGTGGAGGCGGCAGTGCTGCTGCAGTCACCATGCGATCAAGCGGCTGCTGCTGCTGCTGCTGCGGAAGCAGCTGCAGCAGCTGCCAGTGAGGCAGCAGCGCCCCCGCCTGCAGTGGAAGATGCTCCGCATGCAGCAGCGCGTTAGCAGCAAGGGCCTGCAGCCTCGCGCCTGCTGCTGCCACTCGATGGGGAGACACTTCCTCTGCTGCTGTAGCTGCTGCTGCCACGGCGGCTACTGTTGCTGCCGCTGCTGAGGCCGCTGCAGCGGCTTCTGCTGCCCCTGTAGCAGCAGAAAAGTCGCGGCGGCTTTTCGCAGCAATAGCAGCTCGAGGGCGCTGCAGCGGCAGCAGCTGCTGCTGCTGATTTGCTGCTGCAGCAAATAACTCAGTCTGTAGCAGCGTTGCTGCAGCAGAGATGCGCGCAGCAGCACGAACAGCAGCACTGGGCTGCAGCATCCGCAGCAGCAAACGCAGGCGGGGCGGGCGGCAGTCTAGCTGCGTTTGGGTTGCTGCTGGGAGGCCCGTGTAGCTGCTGCTGTTGCGCCTGCTGCTGCCTCCTGCTGCTGCTGCGCTGCTGTCGTCCTCATCGTCTGCTGCGCTCGCAGCCCCGCGACGGACATGCAGTGCCACAGGAGCCGTGGCAGCAGCAGCACTAGCAGCAGCAGCAGCAGCAGCAGCATGCAGCTCCTGCAGCAACCACACCGCAGCAACTTCTGTTTCTCCAGCAGCCCAGTAAAGGGCCGCTCGGCTTCCGTGAACCTTTCTGATGGACTGCGTTAAAGCAGCAGCAGCAGCAGCAGGGCTGTTGCTGGTGGCAGTATCTTCTGCTGCTGCTGACGCTGCTGCTACCGCGAAAGGTGCTGCTGCAGACGCAGGGTCCCCTGCAGAAGGCAGCGCCGCAGCAGGGCCAGCTGCTGCTGCTGCTTCCGTTGCTGCTGCTGCTCCTGCCGCCCGTGCCACTGCTGCTGGGTAGGGGCACGGCCGCTTCCACTGCAGCTGCTGCTCTGCTGCTGCAGGCTCTCGAGCTGTCCCATACCAGCCCACTTTGCGTTTCCCCGGGGTGTCTGCAGCAGCTCGATTGTGGTGCTGCTGCTGCTGCTGCTGCTCTCCGCCAGGCGCTGCAGCAGCTTGGGGGAGCAGCTGCAGAGCATGCAGCAAGGGCTCTGTCATCCACACTGCCGGCGGCATCTCTGGTGCAGGCCTACTGCTGCTGCTGCTGCTGTCTGTGCCGCTGCTGCTGCAAATGCTGCTCCTCGCGAGTGTGCTGCTCCTGCACAGAGCAGCAGCAGCACGCAGAGACTGCAGCAGCGCAGAGGAGCGGCAGGGGATGTCCTGGTGCAGCAGCAGCCATGCCTCTGGGCTGCAGAGCCACTTGCCGCTGCAGATGGTGCAGTTTCTGCTGCAGGGAGACTCGCTGCTGCTGCTGCTGCAGCAGCAATTCGGGGAACCCATCAGGGGCCACAGCCGCTCAGCAAGGGCAAAGGCCTCCCTGCTGGCTGCTCCGCCACTTTCAACATCCATAGTGCTGGCGTCGCTGCCGCGGCTCTCGTCTCCGCGGCTGCTGCTGCTGCTGCTGCAGAGCCTGCTGCTGCTGCTGCTGCTGCGGCAAGGCGGGCGGGCTGCCGGCAGAAATGGTACTGGAGATGCCACCCGTCCCGGGGCGCCAGTGCGGGCGTTCGTAGGCAGCTGGGGGAACAATGGGCCTTGCTTCTGCTGCTGCTGCTGCTGCTGCTGCTGCAGGTTTGATGGCCCGCGCCTCAAATGCTCTGCGCGGGCCAGCAGCCCTCTTTGGGCAGTTAAGGTGAGCGCTATGAGACTCAGGCTTTGCTGCAGCCCTTCCAGGCCCGGAAACAGCAGCAGCAAGAGCTGCTGCTGCTGCTGCACATCCAGGGGAAACGAAGCTGCAGCACGAGCCCCCCAAGCCACGCGGGCGGCATCGAGAGACCCAAACGATTCCAGCTGAAGCAGGAGCTGCTGCTGCAATTTCTGAAGCAGCAGCAGCGCCTGCTGCTGCTGCTGCAGCGGCTGGCCACCGCCTAGATTGCTGCCGGTGCGCTTCTTGCTTGTGACTCCGCCTGCACCTGCTGCATCCCTGCTGGCTGCTGCAGCCGCAGCGTCAGCAGCAGCAGCAACTGCTGCTACTGCTGCGTCTTTCATTCGCTGAATGGCTGGAGGGCTTGCAGCAGCACAGACAAACAGCCGCAGCAGAATCTCCCGCAGGCTGAGGGGCCCCGGGGGCCCCCAGCGCACTGAAGACCGGCAGTGGGGATCTGCTAAAACCCTAAATGTGTCTTGTCTGTCTGCTCCTGCATAGAGTCGCGCGATGCTTGCGATGCAGGTGACGACGCATGCAGCCCCGCTGCTGCTGCTGCTGCTGCTGCTGCTGCGGGAGGCGGGCAGCAGCAGCAGCAAGCCCTGCAGCGCGGCCTTCGCCGCCCGCGAGTTGCGCACGGAGCAGCAGCTCAGCATCTGCAGCAGCAGCAGCCGCGTGGCCTTGCTGCGCTCGTGCAGCAAAGGAGACACAGCGCGCCGCAGGGCCCCGTCTCGCAGCGGAGAGACACGGGAAAGTTCGACAGCAGCAGCAGCAACAAATCGCTGCACCTGCAGTGAAGGGTCCCCCACCAAGTCCCACAGCAGGGACTGCAGCAGCAGCGACAGTTTGCTGCAGTCTCCCCGCTGCCGCAGCGCATGCAGCAGCAGGAGCAGCAGCTCTGCAGCAGCAACGCGCACAGGCTCAGCTTGGTCGTCCAGGCACAGCAGCAGGAACCCGCAGCAGATGGGGAGGCCAAACACGCGCTGCAGCAGCCGGGCCCCCAGCTGCTGCAGCTCACGCTGCTGCTGCTGCTGCTGCATCTCCACGGCCGCCGCCACCGCTGCCACAGGCTCCCCAGAAGCAGCAGCAGCGCCTGCTGCAGCGCCTGGTGCAACGCCTGCAGCTGCTGCTGCTGCGGCTGCTGCGACCTGGCGGGGGGAAGCAGCAGCAGACACCGCCAAAGCCTGCCGCTGCAGAGACACCAAAGGATGTGCAGCAGCAGGAGGGAAGCTGTCGCGCTGCAGCGCAGAGACTGTCTCTTCTTCCTGTATCACTCCTGCTGCAGCAAGAGGCAGCAAGCCCCGCAGCGCCCCCACGCGCATGGAGACGCAGCCGTCAGCTGCAGCAGCAGCAGCAACAGCGACACCAGCAGCAACAGCAGCCGCAACGGGCAGGTACACAGACGCACACGCAGCAGCAAGGTGGTGTCAGGTGCCTAGGGAGCCTTGCTGCTGCTGCTGCTGCTGCAACTACGGCTAGTGCCTCTGCTCTGGCTGTTTCTACCTCCAGCCTCAGCCACTGCAGCAGCAGCAGCAATCCCTAGCGGTTTGCTGCTGCTGCTGCGGCCAGCTCGAATATTAAAATGATTTAATCTTCTAGATGCATCTCAGAGCTCTGGAGTGTACGTACAGCTCATGTAAGAAAGCCCCACGGCCGCGACCCTCATCAAGGCTTGGCAGCGCTGCTTCAAGGACTGTCCCAGCTCTTGCTGCTGCTGCTGCTGCTGCTGCTGCAGCGCACGGCTGGCGACGGTGCTGAGCTGCGAGGCAACAGCAGCAGCAGCAGCCCACAGGCGAGCCGCAGCAAGCCGCGTGCCGGTGTCTGCATGCGTGAGAAGTGCTGAGGCCAGCAGGTGGACATAAACACCTCTCAGTTCTTCTGTGAGGTCCGTGCAGGCCTTCAGGTCCACTTGCTGCTGCTGTTGCTGCTGCTGCTGCTGCTGCTGCTGCTGCTTGAGGGGAGTGACACCCTGCACGGCAGCGTAGGACAACAGCGAAAGCAGCAGCTGCAAAGCCTCTTGCTGCGCCTTCGGGTTCTGCTGCAGCAGCAGAGGCAGCAGGTAGTGCACTGCGGACACCAGCACGCTGCAGGCGCTCCGGCTGGACGTGCTGCTGCTGCTGCTGCTGCTGCATGGCTGTTGGCTCAGCAGCTGCTGTGACTGTTGCTTCTGCTGCTCTTTTCCTTGAAGCTGAGACTCCCCAACTGCTTTCGAACCCGCCGCAGAAGCGCATACAGGCCGAGCAACACGCTGCAGCACCTGCTGCTGTTGCTGCTGCACCTGTTGCTGTTGTAGCTGCTGCTGCTGTAGCTGCTGCTGTTGTAGTTGCTGGTCGTGCAGCTGTTGCTGCTGAAGCTGCTGCTGCTGCAGCTGCTGCTGCTGCAGCTGCTTCTGCTGTATACGTTGCTGCTGGCGGCGCTGTTGCTGTTGCAGCTGCTGCTGCAGTTGCTTCTGCATCAGCTGCTGCTGCACATGCTGCTGCTGCTTTTGCTGCTGCTGCTGCGGTGCCGACTGCACTGGCTGCTGCATGTCTGGACCTTCCGGCAGCGGCAGCAGCCCCGGGGGCGGCCCAGGGGTTGTGGGGCCCCCAATGGGCTCGTGCCTTGTAAACATTTGCTGCTGCTGCAGCAACTGCTGCTGCTGTTTCTTTTGCTGCTGCGTTGCTTGCTCTTGTTGGCTGTGCTGCAGCTGCAGCTGCTGCTGCTGCTGCCGAGCTTGTTCCTGTTGGCTGTGCTGTAGTTGTAGCTGCTGCTGTTGTTGCTGCAACATGGGCTGCCTCTCCTGCTGCAGGTTACGGCGCTGCCACGGTGGGAGGCTGTCGCAAGTCTCGTGCTGCTGCTGCTGCTGCTGCTCCAGTATTTTTTGCTGCTGGGATGCATAGGACGCATACGTGCCAGACGCGTCAGCAGCAGCAGCTGTCTGTGCCGCTGGAAGTTCTGCGCGCTTCTGCTGCTGTAGCTGCTGCTGCAGCTGCTGCTGCTTGTAGAGCTGCTGCAGTTCAGTCTGCTGCTGTCGCTGCTGCTGCAGCTGCAGCTGCTTCTGCAGCCGCTGCTGCTGCGTGGGTTGAGCAGCAACTTGAGCTTCGAAACCGCGAGGAAGACCTGGAGGAGCGTTAGCGTGGAGCAGCATCTGCTGCTGGTGCAGTTTCTGCTGGAGAGCGTGCTGCTGCTGCTGCTGCTGCACTCCAGGCAATCCGGGGGGGATCGACGGGGCGCCAGACAGCTGCTGCAGTCTCTGCTGCTGCAGCTGCTGTAAGCGCAGTTGCTGTGGCAGGTGCTGAGACTCGCATGCCGCTGCTGCTGCTGCTGCTGCTGTAGCAGCTTCTTCAGTGTGCGCTGTCAGGGACCTGTGCCTGTGATGCTGCTGCTGCTGCTGCTGCTGCAGCTGCTGTGAGTACGCGGCGCCTGGAAGGCTGTGTGAGCTGAGCTTCTGCCGCTCAGACTGCTGTTGCACTGTCTGCTGCTGCTGCAGGTTTGGCTGCCGCTGCTGCTGCTGGCCTTGCTGCAGAAGGTTGAAGTGCGACTGAGGCTGCTGCTGAGGGGGAACGCGCTGCAGTAGCTGTTGTTGCTGCTGCTGCCACGGCGGAGGCTGCTGCTGCAGCGTTGGAGGCCGTTGCATTGGTGGCACTGTTGCTGGTTGCTGTGGCTGGCACCGCTGCTGTTGCACTTGCTGCTGCTGGAGCAGCTGCTGCTGCTGCACTTGCTGCTGCTGGTGCAGCTGCTGCTGCTGTACTTGCTGATGCTGGTGCAGCTGCTGCTGTACTTGGTGCTGTTGCTGCAGCTGCTGATGCAACCGTAGTTGCTGTTGTTCCCAAACCATCTGTTGCTGCGGCTGCTGCATCGCATGAGGCAGATGCTGTTGCATCCTTTGTCCGCTTTGCTGCTGCTGCTGCTGCTGCTGCAGCGGAGGCGGTGGGGGAGGCGGCTGAGGTTGCTGTGGCTGGCATTGTTGCTGCCACTGCTGCCGCAGCAGTCTTTGCTGCTGCTGCAGCAGCTGCTGCTGGAACTTGTCACCGTGCATTGGCTTCACTTAAGCAGCAGAGGTGCTTACCTACGGCAGCAGCGAAAGCAGCAGCAGCAACAGCAGCAGCAGTCGATGAGGCAGAACCTGCGGCAGGCCGTCCCGCCTCACTTGCTTTTACTGCTGCGACTCCAACCGCTTCATGAAGCCCTACTAGAGGCAGAATCCGCGCAGGAATGAGCGCCACTGCGGCAGCAGCTGCTGCCGCCGCTTCAGGAACAGTACCAGCAGCAGCAGCAGCGGCAGCTGCTGCTGCTGCGCTTGGCGAATTCCGGCGTTTTCTGGGGCCTCTCTGCTTCGTTTTAGGGGCATTAGAATAAAACGAGAGGCCCCTGCTCTCGCCAGAACGCGGTGCCGTCTCCTCCGCTGCAGCAGCAGCAGCAGCTGCTGCTGCTGCTGAGGCAGCGCCGGTGCCAGCAGCAGCAGTACACAATGGCTCCAGTTGAGCAGCCTGTGCGCTTAGAAACGTAAAAATAACTGCTGCAGCAACAAGCCCCCTTTTCTTAAGGGGCCCTCAGGGCCCACCATGCGTTGCTGCGGGGGCCCCGGGGGCCCCCCGGGTATCTCCCGAGGCCCTTGGTGAGCCCCCTGTGAGGGCAGAAAGCGGGTAGAGGGGACACAACAAAGAGCTATTTAACAAGCAAAACGCGGTTAAAATTGAGTCGTTTCTGCTGCTGCTGCTGCCGCTGCTGCTACTGCTGCTGCTGCAGTGCAGCTGCGGCGTTCCTTGTCGCCGCCCCGGTCGCTTAGCGGTCCTGCAGGCGGGTGGCCTGATGCTGCAGCAGCAGCAGCAGCTGCTGCTGCTGTTGACATTTTAGGATGCCGACCATCAGCTCGGACCTCTTTTTCAGAATAGGCAGCGGCCTTTTCTGTTCGTTTGCCGCAGCTGCTGCCGCAGCAGCCCCCAGGGTCACCTGGGTGTCCCATAAGCCTCACCCCACAGCCCAAGCCTTTGGCCTGCGCCCTGCGCGGGGTGTCTAGACACTGCGTTGCCAAAGTTTGAAAGAGGTCCCCCAGTCTGTCTCATTTGCTGCTCTGTCTCTTTTAGCTGCTTTTGCTGCTGCTGCAGCGCCGCAGAGGAACCTCACTATGGCTGTTCCCTTGGCGCTGCAGCCAATGCGGCCTTTGCTGCAGCGCAACAGCCTCCCCCTGGTACCAGGGCTCGCTCTCAGGGGGGCCCTTCTGCTGCTGCTGCTGCTGCAGCTGCTGCTCTGTGCTGCTGCAGACCACCCTATCCCCCAGAATCCAGCACGGCCAGTGCTGCTGAATGCGCCGGGCGAACTTGCCTCGTTGTGGTCCTCTACAGAAAACTCCAAGGGTATGGCGGCTCAGTCCTGCTGCTGCTGCTGCTGGTGCATCCACTTTTTCTGCTGCTGCTGCTGCTGCTGCTGTTCTCGCCAAAGGTCTCGATGGCGCTTTTCTTTGTCTAGAAAGGACTTACGGGTAGACCTATGAGCTGAAAGTCAGTGTGTGCGCTTCTCCCTTCGCTGCTGCTGCCGCCGCTGCTGCTGCCAACTTGCTGCTGCTCTGGCTGCTGCTGCTGCTGCTGCTCTCAGAAGGAGACAGCAGCTGCTTGTGGCGCAATGTGCGCCTGGGCATTGGAAAGGCTTTTGCTGTTGTGCCTTTTGGGGTCCCTTCCCCCGCTGCCTGCCGCCGCCTCTGCCGCGCTGCTGCTCCCCGCTGCAGCTTTTTCTTACACGTGACGAACAAGCTGCTGCCACAGGGCCTCCAGGTGTTTGCTGCTGCTGCACGTGCTGCTGCTGCTGCTGCTGCTGTGTCAGGTGCCTCTGCTACGCTGCTGCTGCTCCCCGCTGCAGCAGACCTTGGGCTGGCGAGGCTGCTGCAGCTGCAGCGCTGACTTCTTACTGGCTATCACTCAGCCGTGGGAAGTGCTGCTTCTGCTGCTGCTGCTGCCACTGCTTCTGCTGCTGCAGACATCTTGCCATTTGCTGCAGTCGCCGTCTCCAGCCCTGCCTATCTCTGCTGAGCAGCGCCAGTGGCTGCTGCTCGTGGGGGGCCCAGTGGAGTGCAGTGCAGAGGCGCAGGGGCTCTCTCCCCCGCTGCTTACTGATGGCACTTGTAAGCCTGCTGCTGCTGCTGCTGCTGCGACTCCCATTGGTGCTGGCGGTGGGGAAAAACAACGCCGCTGTCGCGCAGGAGCAGCTCCCTCTGCTGCTGCGGCACCGCCTTTTGCTGCTGCTGTGCTGCAGGTGCCAGCAGCATCGAATGCGACCTGGCGGGCCTTTTCGGCGTTGGAGGCGGCAGGTTCGATCCATTCTGCGGCAGCAACAGCAGCAATAGCAGCAGCAGCAGCAGCGACGGCAGCGACGGAGAAAGGAACAGCAGTGATCGCAGCAGCAGCAGAGAAGTGCTGCAGCAAGACACGCCAGCCAGTGAGGAAGACAGGCAATTCTTCTGCTCTCGCCAGCTCATGGGCCTTCCTTGCTGCACTCGCTGCGGGGACTCGGAATTCAATCCATGTCCAGGTAGGCTTTCAGCTGCTGCCGCTGCTGCTGCTGCTGCCACTGCTGCTGCTGCTGCTGCAGGTAGCAGCGCAGCTACCGCACATGGCACAAGCCAGCCAATTCGCTGGGCGTAAAGCTGGAGTAATGCTGGGCGTTGAGCTTACGTTTGCAGCAGCAGCATCGGAGTGTACTGCTGCTGCTGCTGCTGCTGCTACTCTCGCTGCTGTGTGCGCAGAGGACGCGTGTGGCAGCTCTGGTGTAGATTTCCCTGGTGGTGAAGTGGTGGGATTTGTAGCTGGGGGAGTACCTTCTGCTGCTGCTTGCCGGCGGCTGTGTCTTGCTGCTGCTGCTGCTGGCTGCACCCACTACTTTTATTATTCTTCTTATCTATTATCGGAGGCAATTCGAGGCAGCTGCAGCCTGAGGCGCTACCCCCAGCTCACGGAGGAGCAGCTGCAGGAGCAGCTGCAGCAAGTAGCCAGGGAGAGGCAGCAGCAGCGAGAGCTGAAGCTGCAAAAGAAAAGAAAAGAGAGGGAAATGAGGCGACTGAAAAGAAAGCAGGAGAAGCAACGACAACTAGAGTTGCAGCAGCAGAAGCAGCAGCAAAAACAGCAGCAAAGCCAGCGGCAAAATCAGCAGCAAGAGCAGAAGCAGAAGGCACAGCAGCAGCAGCGACAGGAGCGCATGCAGGAAACGGAAACTCCAGCTCAGCAACAGGACGCCAAACGCCCTCAGCAGCAGCTCACAGAACAGCAGCAGCAAAGGCTGCCAACGCAACACGAGCCGGCGTCCTCTGAGGCCCAGGCTGCTGCAGCACAGACAGACCAAGAGGCAGCCCAGCAGCAGCCGCAGCAAAAACTGCTGCAGCAGCGGAGGCTGTCGGAGCTGTCAGACACAGAAGAAGATATTCCAGAAATGACGGACAGTGAAGAAGACACAAAGGAGCAATCAAAAGTTGCAGCAGCAGCAACAACAACAAAACGAAGCGCAGCTGCATCAGCAAAAGCAGAAGCAGCTCCAGAAGTTACCCAACTCGAAGCAACAGAACAGGGAGAAGCAGCAGCAAAGGATCCAACACTGAAGAAGAAGAAGACTACGAAGCTTGACGCAGGGCTGTCAAATGAAGCGGACGGCGCAGCAGCAGACGCAGCAGCAGATGCAGCAGCAACGGCACAGCAGCCGCAAAGGGAGTCCAGTGCCTCAGGTGGTACTGAAGATGCGACAGCTGGAAAGGAAGCAAAAGAAAAAGAAGAAGACACAGAAGAAGAAGAGGACGAGGAAGAGGAAGAAGACCCACCTCTTCTGCTGCCTGGGGCTCCCCATGCCTTTCCTATTTTCCAGCAGCAGCACAACCAGCAGCAGCAGGAGCAGCAGCAGCAGGAGCAGCAGCAGCAGGAGCAGCAGCAGGAGCAGCAGCAGCACAACCAGCAGCAGCAGGAACAGCAGCAGGAGCAGCAACAGGGACAGCAGCAGCAGGCGCAGATGCAGCACAGCCAGCAGCAGGAGCAGCAGGAGCACAGCCAGCAGCAGCAGCAGGAGGCAGTGGAGGGTGCGCATCTGCAGGAGGCGGTGTTTGGCCCGGTGCTGTCTGAGTGGCACTTTGGTGCTGCTGCATGCGCTGCAGCAGCGCGCCCCACAACAACAACAACCCCACCCCCCCCGCCACCCCCACCACCCCCCAACCACTGCGAAAAGCCCAAGACCGACTTCTACGGCCACGACCTCGCCCGCAAAGCCGCACTGACTTCGCGCCAGTGCCAAAGCCACTGCGCACACGCCGAGGCCTGCGAGGGCTACACCTTTTTGCCGCGCCAGCGGGTCTGCCTCTTGAAGTGGCTGCTGCTGCCCCGCGCCGTGCCCGAGTACGTCAGCGGACCCAGGTGCTGCCTCCCCCAAAGCCAGCAGCAGCAGCAGCAGCAGAAGCAGCAGCAGCTGGATGGGGGGAGCGAGGGATCGCTTCAGTCCTTTCGCAGGGCAGCTCAAGCTCCGGCCGAGCCCGGGCCAGCAGCCGCAGCAGCCAGCCGCGCAGACACAGCCAACAGCGAAAGCAGCAGCAGCAGCAGCAGCAGCTCTAACGATTGCCCCCCTGAGCGCCCCCTGCTGTGCCTGTGGCCCGGCAAGGCCTTGCTGGAGCACGACTTGGGGCCCCCCATAGAGGACTGCAGCAGCGCAGCAGCCTGTCAGTCTCACTGCGACAAAAACCTCCGCTGCAGCGTTTGGGTATACAGGGGGGCCCCACACCACACGTGCCAGCTGAAGCTGCTGCCTGCTGCTGCTGCGGGGTCGCTCGCTGCTATGGGGGCCTCTTCCCCCGCTGAGACGGCGCTTGCTGCTGTTGCCGCAGCAGCAGCCACTCCCAGCGCCGACTTTGCTGCAGCAGCAGCTGCATTAGCAGCAGCAGACAAAGAAAGCCCCCAAGAAAGGCTCCTAAGGAGGCAGCGGACCCGCGGGGAAATCGAAAAACGCGGGCAGCTCGTGCCTTTTGCCCAGGCCATTACGGGGCTGCCAGATTGCCCCTTAAGGGGAGATGCAGCAGGAGAATCTCGGGGCCGCAGGCGCACGCTGCTGCTGTTACAGCGCAGCATGCAGCGGAAGCTGAAGAGACAGCAAAGGGCAGCAGAACGCGCCCGAGAGAAGCAAGAAAGTGCCCAAATGCGCAGGCAACAGAGACTCACGGGCAAGCAACTGAGGCTCCGCAGACAGCAGCAGCAGCAGCAGCAGCAGTTTAATGCGCCCCACCAGAAACCCCAAGGCGATTATGCAGAAGCAACGCTTGCACCGCCGCTGCAGCAGCAAGAAGACAGCCAGGAGCAGCGTCCCCAGTCAAGCCAAAGCTCACACCTAGAGGTTGAGCAGAAGCAGCAGCAGGAGCAGCAGCAGGGGCAGGAAGGCCTGCAGCAGCATGAACAACAAGATCAACGGCAGGAACAGCAACGAGAGCAGCAGTCACTGCAGCATGAGCAGCTGCAACAGGAGCAGCCTCAAAAAGGGCAACAGCAGCAGCACAGGCAGCTCCCCAGCCTCTTCCAGTCCTTAGAAAAAGTGGGAGAGATGCTTCCTTCTCTGGGGGCACTGCTGCAGCCGCTGCAGCCGTTGAACCCGCTGCAGCCGCTACAGCCGCTGCAGCCGTTGAAACCGTTGCAGCCAATGCAGCCAATGCTGCCAATGCAGCCGCTGCAGCCTATGCAACCACTGCAGCCGCTGCAGCCAATGCAGCCAATGCAACCACTGCAGCCGCTGCAGCCGCTGCAGCCACTTCAGCCACTGCAGCCACTGCAGCCGTTGAAAGCGCTGCAGCCGCTGCAGCCCCTGCAACCATTGAAGCCGCTGCAGCTGCTGCAGCCACTGCAGCCACTGCAGCAACTGCCGACGCTACAGCCACCAGAGCCTGAGCAGCCACTGCAGCCTCAGCATCCACTGCAGCCACTGCAGCCCCTGCAGCCTCTGCAGCCGTTCAAGCCGCTGCAGCTGCTGCAGCCGCTGCAGCAACCGCCGACACTGCAGCCGCCAGTGCCTGAGCAGCCACTGCAGCCTCAGCGCCCACTGCAGCCGCAGCAGCCTCTGCAGCCATTGAAGCCGCTGCAGCTGCTGCAGCCACTGCAGCCACTGCAGCAAACGCCGACACTACAGCCGCCAGAGCCTGAGCAGCCACTGCAGCCGCTGCAGCCACTGGAGCCGTTGAAACCGCTGCAGCCGCTGCAACCATTGCAGCCGCTGCAGCCGCTAGAGCCTCTGCAGCAGCAACTTGGGCCTCTGGGCTCAGAGCCACTACCGCAGCTGCTACAAATACCTCAGCAGCAGCTGCCACCAGTGCAGCAGCCTCAGTTGAGCCTGCCTTTGAGGCTCCCATAACAGCAAGAGCAGCAGCAGCAAGCAACACCCCTGGCTGGCTCAAAGGCACTGCAGCAGCAGCTGTCACAGTGTCATTCGCTTGCAGTGCGGATTCAGATCCCCCTGCAGCTCCATGGGAAGCAGCAGCAGCAGCAGCAGCAGCACAGGAACTAGCCAGCTTTTGTCGGTGGCCACAGTTCGAGCTTTCTCCTTTTGCAAGGGCCATTTCAAAAGCAGAGTGCACGGCAGCATGCTTAAGGGCAGCAGCAACAGCAGCAACAGTAGCCAGCAACTCGTCGCTGCTACGCCTCTCTCATCATGGGCAGCTGCTGCAGCTGCCAGCAGCTGCAGTCCTACGGCCAGCAGCAGCAGTCAGCTGGAGACATGCACCATTCTACTGCGTAGCCCCATGCGGCAGCAGCAGACGCTAAGGGGAACCCCGGTGAGCTGCTGCAGTAATTGCAGCAAAGGCAGCAGCAGCTAGTGCTGCTTTCGCTGCTGAGACAGATGCCCAGTGAGTTTTTTGCGTCCAGCAGCCAAGTGCAGCAGCAGCAGCAGCAGCAATTTTGGCAGCAGCAGCAACTTTGGCCGGAGCAGCTTCTCAATTATCCCAATTCAAGCTTCAAGCTGCTAGGCGGCCTCAGGCTGAGCTGCAGCTGCAGCGGCCTTCCAGCTTGCTGCTGCAGCAGCCGCAGTCCCTGCCTTAGTCCCCGCCCTCGTTGCAGCAGAAGCGACCCCCAGTGCTGCTGCAGCATTAAGACTTGCTGCAGTGGCAAATGCGTGGCATAAGCACCAACTGTGACAGGATTCTCTTGCTACCAGGCCGCAGCAGCAGCAGCAGCAGCAGCAGCAGAACCACCTGCTGATGGCAACAGCAACAACCCCAACGGCCGCAGAATCTTCCAACGAATTATTAGCAGAAGCAGCAGCAACATGATGGCTGGCGAGTCTGAAGCAGCTGCAGCTTCTCCGGATATACTGGAACTATTGGAACCGCAGGTGTGTGGCACGCAGCTCCCGAGCACACTCTTGTAAGTACCAGTTGCTGCTGCTGCTGCCGCAGTAGTAGTTACTCTTGCTAATTCAACGAAGGCCACCGCCCTTGCTGCAGCAGCAAGGGCTGTTTCGGCTGTGACAGCGACGCACTGTGCTCGTCGGCTTTACACGAACAGCAGCAGGCGGCGGCAGCACTGGGGACGGCAAATCTACTATCGCCAAAGCAATTGACAGCAATAAACGCAGGAACACCAATACACGCAACAGCAGCCGCAGTAGCCGCAGCAGCAGCAGCAGCAGCAGCAGGTCCACTAGCAACCATGGCACCAGGAGCCTGTGTTGGCGTGCGCGCCTTAGGTGAGTTGAAGCCTCCCACGGCGGGATGTTTGCGTTGGTTCAAATGAGAAGCAGCAGCATAGACTATTACTTGTGCTGCGGCAGCAAAGCAAGTGTGTCGGAAGCAACTCTGCTGCTTCCCCTCTGCTGCTTCCCTACCAGTCAGCCACGCACCCAGCGAGCTGCGCACCGCCAGCACTTTCAATTTGAATTAAAAGACAGTACTTTCACGAATTGTTTTAAGGAATTGTATAATTCATGTTGAGAGACAAAAAAACAGCCCTTAGCACCGGGCACACTGGCGCTGCCGACGCATGCAGTAGCGTGCTAGTGTTGATCTAATACAAGTGGAGTTGCTGCTGCTACTGCTGCTGTTGAGTCGCATTCAAATGTAATTTACAGACAGACACAAGACACCACTGTGGCAAGAGGCGGCCCAGCCCGCCAGGGCCCCACGGTGAGCAGTTCCCTTTGCTGCTGTTGCTGCTATGCTTGCCGCTGCTGCTGCTCCTGCTGCACCCAAGGCTTCGCGGTAGTCCCTCGGACAGGACGGCATCATGAAGCCCCGTCACCGCGGCTCGCCGCAGTCGCAGCAGCAACAGAGCAGCAGAGCAGCTGCAGCAGCAGCTGCTGCACCTGAGCCACAGCAAGTTAGCCCCAGTCAAGCTGGAGCCACAAAGGGGCCACCCTGCACTAGCAGCAGCAAACGCCGCAGCAGCCTGGGCCATTTGTGTCGAACTTGCTGGTCTGCGTACACCACAAGTTACCAGTGGCATATATACCTGCTTGACGCCTTCCTCGCGTGGCTGCTGCTGCTGCTGGTGCTGGTGCTGGTGCTGCCACTGGTCTCGGGCACCACCTTTCCGAAGCACGCCTTCGTTGCTGCCCTTTTCTCCTGCGGCGGCACAGCGGCCCTCACAGGCTGCCTCCGCGCACAGGTGCGCAAGCTGCTGCTGCTGCTGCTGCTGCTGCTGCTGCTGCTGCTGCCGCTGGTTAATGGCGGTGTTGCTCCCTGTTGCTGCTGAGAGCTCCCTTAGGTGCTGGTCTGATAGGCGGTCCATGTGTTGCTGCATGCGCTGCTGCTGCTGCTGCTGTTTGCTGCAGCTCGTGAGCCCGGAGAAGTTCGAGGTGACGGAGCAAAGGGCAACAGCAGACTTCCTCGTTTGCTTCGTAGTGCTGCAGGTTCTGTGTTTCTGCTTCCTTGGGTAGCAGTGGCGAGCAGCTGCTGCCTCCCTGGTTGCAACAGCTGCAGCAGCAGCAATCCCCGCAGAAGTGACAGCGTAGTTCTCTCCTAGGTGCTGAGCTAGGACAGCCACTGCAGCAGATGCCTTGCTGCTGCAGCAGCTGCAGCAGCCACACAACATCGCCTAGGTGCTGCAGCAGACGCCCTGCTGCAGCAGCAGCCGCATAGCAGCCGCTGCTGCACTACAGAAACCGTTGCTGCTGCCTGATCGCGCTTGGGCCCAAGACCAGCAGCAGCAACAGCTGCGGCTTAGCCCCCCTAATCTATTCGTTTTTGCTGGAGTGCAGCGCCGTTGATAACTTTTCTTCTCAAGACCATTTCTGATTTTCGATGCGTGGCGTACGTGCACTTGCAGCAGCAGCAACAGCAGCAGCTGCAGCAGCTGCTCAACTAGATGCGTCGGCACTTTTGACTGCGTAGCTAGGCTGCCTCGGGAGTCTCAGTAGCTTTGCGTGGCTGTCTGGCGAAACGTTTGGCTAGCTGGCTAGCTGCTTTGCCCTGGCTAGCTGCGCTGCAGGCCCTTAGCGCCCCTCAGAGTGGGGCCTCTGCCGCGAGCGCCCCGGGGCAGCTGCAGCAGCAGCCGCAGCAGCTGTGGGGCCCTGCAGGTAGCGGCTGTCTTGTCGCCTGTGCTTTGGCCACTCAGCTCTGACATATCCCCCCTGCTGCCGCCGCAGGTGCCTCCCGTTGTGCTGGTGCTCATGTGCTGCCTCAGCAGCAGCAGAAGCAGCAGCAGCAGCAGCAGCAGGGGGGGGGCTTGGGTGCCGCCGGGCGATGTAGCGTCCCCACGCTTCCTCACCTCTTTCGTAGTCGCGCTGCTGCTGCTGCTGCTGCTGCTGGTACTGCTGCTCCCGGTAGTAGGCTGGGTAGTGGTAGTGTCTTGGGGGCTCAGGAGGCAGCGAAGGCGGCAGGCGACGGTGGTACGGCGGCTCGTAGTGGCTGCGCGGCTCGTGCTGCTGCTGCTGCTGCTGCTGCAGCTGTCTTTGCCGGTGCTGCTGCTGCTGCCCGTAAGCGTGCTGCTCGGGCTCTCCAAAGTACTGGTAATACTGCTGCTGCTGCTGCTGCTGCTGCTGTTGGTAGTGCCTGTAGCCCCTGGGCGACAGCCTCTCTCTATAAAAGTCTGCAGAATGGCTCCGCAGGGAAGCTGATCTACGCCTAGAAGGCAATCTGCTGCGGTGCTCTGGCCCCAGCTGCCTACGCCGCTGCAGCTCTTCTTCCTGCAGCAAAGAGTCTCGTTCCCGCTGCGGCTGCCGCGGGTGGTGCCGCTGCTGCTGCTGCCGCTGCTGTGGGGGCTGCGGCGGCGGCGGTGGCATGCAACGGTGCGCCCGTTCGCGACCTTCCGGGCTGCGCCCACGCCTCCAGTACTGCTGCTGCTGCTGCTGCTGCTGCCGCTGCCGCTCTTGCCTGTACGGCTCTTCGTGCTCAAGGTGCTGCTGACGCCAAAAGTGATAGTCAGAGTGCTGGCTGTGGGGTCCTGACTGCAGCGAGCTGCGTCGTTGCTCGCGGTGCTGCTGCTGGCCGTGCGACCGCCGCTCGTGCTGCTGCTGCTGCGGTTGCTGCCTCCACCGCCGGCTGTCGCCGTGCTGCTGCTGCTGCAGCGGTGGCTCTGCTGCATCGCGTCGCTGCCGCGGTGGCTGCTGGCAGCGCCGCAGCTCCTCTTCGGCCTGCAGCCATTCTTCCTGCTGCCGCTGGCTATGCTGCGAGTGCGGGCGCTGCTGCCCGTTGCAACAGCCGTTCCTGCTGCTGCTGCTGCTGCTGCTCACGCTTTTTATTTGATTGCTCCTCGCCCTAGAGCTGTAGTCGATCGGGCGGTGCTGCTGCTCTCGCCTTTCCTGCTGCTGCGTTTCGTTGGGGGGCAGCGGCTGATGGTGCTGCCACGGCTGCTGGCTTTGCTGCTGCATCTGCTCATGCTGCTGCTCTTCCTCACTCCTTTCTCTTTCATCCCAACCACTATGCTGTGTGTAATGGTCGCGTTCCCTACTGTGGGGTAAAAGAGCGTCTTCGTGCTGTCGCTGCTGCCGCTGCTGCAGCTGCTGCGGCTGCTGCTGCAGCTGCTGCTGCTCAGGTGGCGACGGGGACCTCAACCGCTGCGGAGCGCTTTGCTGGGGGTGAGCGCTGCGGCGCTCATGGGCTCCTGGAGGAGAGCGAGAGGTTAGGCTGCCAGCACGCTGCTCTCGTTGCCACTGCTGCTGCTGCTGCTGCTTGTGCTGCACGAGCAGCCGCTCAGCAGCACGCCGTGCAGCAGCGGCGGCAGCTGCCGGCCCAAACCCACGGAGCTGCTGCGCCGCTCCTCCCGCCGCCAAGAGGTGACAGGCGAGCTGCTGCTGCTGCTGGGTCTGCAGGGTCTGCAACATCTTCAGCAGCAGCCACATCGCAGTGAAGGGTCCAGTTCATTGCATTTGTTTGAGGGCGCAAGAGCAGCAGCAGCAGCAACAGCATGTGCTCGGGGGATCCTCTAGAGTCGACCTGCAGGCATGCAAGCTTGGCGTAATCATGGTCATAGCTGTTTCCTGTGTGAAATTGTTATCCGCTCACAATTCCACACAACATACGAGCCGGAAGCATAAAGTGTAAAGCCTGGGGTGCCTAATGAGTGAGCTAACTCACATTAATTGCGTTGCGCTCACTGCCCGCTTTCCAGTCGGGAAACCTGTCGTGCCAGCTGCATTAATGAATCGGCCAACGCGCGGGGAGAGGCGGTTTGCGTATTGGGCGCTCTTCCGCTTCCTCGCTCACTGACTCGCTGCGCTCGGTCGTTCGGCTGCGGCGAGCGGTATCAGCTCACTCAAAGGCGGTAATACGGTTATCCACAGAATCAGGGGATAACGCAGGAAAGAACATGTGAGCAAAAGGCCAGCAAAAGGCCAGGAACCGTAAAAAGGCCGCGTTGCTGGCGTTTTTCCATAGGCTCCGCCCCCCTGACGAGCATCACAAAAATCGACGCTCAAGTCAGAGGTGGCGAAACCCGACAGGACTATAAAGATACCAGGCGTTTTCCCCCTGGAAGCTCCCCT